AGTTCCAAAACAGCCCTAAAGCCTTGGCACATTCATCTGAGTGAACTTCCAGGTCATCTTCTTCATGATTATCAATGGATAAATTTTCGAGAAGCTTTGAGCAGTTTGACCTCCATTTCCTTAAATTAAATCCACGTTTCTGTAATAGCTGTGAAAGCTTAGAGCATAGGTCAACTGCTTCCTCTAAACTGTTTGCTCCAGATAAACAATCATCTACATAGAAATCATTTTTAAGAACGGAAGATACATGAGGATGATCCTGTTCTGCATCCAAAGCAATTTGCCACAAACAGCGTGTTGCTAAAAATGGTGCAGATGCAGTGCCATAATGTAACTGTACATAATTTATATGTCTGCATTTTTGAATTAACAGATTCTCTCCAAACAATTCTTTGTAAATGTTGATCCTCATTATCTACTAAAATCTGGCGGTACATTTTTTCTATGTCAGCAGAAAAAGCTATTTTATGTATATACGAAAGTTGAGCAATATTGAAAATATATCTCGTTGTAGTGTTGCACCTACCCCTAAAACAGAGTTCAAAGAAACTGAATTTTTAGGTTTACATGAACCGTCAAATACTACACGAAGTTTAGTGGTAGAGCTACTCGGTTTAACAACAGCATGATGCGGTAGATAATATACTTGCTTATTTCTTCTTCTTCTTCTTCTCAACAACTGGAACCATATGATTTAAAGTTTCGTATTCTTCTTGCATGAACTCCTATGTATTGCCTACCAAGTTCTTTATCTAAATCAAATTTCTTTCCATGGATAGAAGACGAGAAATAGCCAAAGGTTTGGAGTCGCCTAACTTTTTGGCATTACTGAAAATGGGCAGTCGGACAACAAATCTGCCATTTCCGTTTACTCGATAATTTTCTTTAAAATGCTTCTCACAAAACTCTTCTTCAATCGTTGATTTCTGATTTTGGAACGTTAATTCTTCCAACTCCCAAAAACCTTAAGTGTTGCATCGACGTTATCCTCAATATGTAAACTAATGCGATTAACACTAATGGGATGCGGAGTATTGCCTTCTGTTTTAATTCTGCCTGACAAACCCAACCAAAAATAGTATTTTGCGCAATTACATTTTTATAGCCAACAATCTGCCCTGGCTGAAGCAGAGAAAGAAATAGTCAGCTCCAATTATCATGTCTATTTGTTTGGCGTACTGAAATTCGGATCTGCAAGATTAATGAATTCAAATAATCAAGGTCCTTGCTATCAATCTTTACTGAAGGCAAATGCGAAGTTAATTTTTTAAGAATATATGCTTGTATTAAAACACCATTTTTTTTCAACTCAGATTTCGGAAACAATTTTACATTTACATAACCACGAGTCAAAGCTGCTTCAGAATCACAAGTCCCTTTACGCAAAATACGGGCATTTTTGTCTGCGTATATTTAATTGTCGAATAAATGATTCACTGATGAAAGAAGCTTCACTTCCACTGTCAAAAAGAATGATACATTCGTGACCTTGACCAGCAGAATCGTAAATTATTACTGCCGCCGTTGGTAAAAATGAAGTACTCTGACCCTGAATAGAAAAACTCGAAATATTATTTTGTTCGTCTGAATTAGAAATTTGTTCATCAGATGGAGATGAATTTGACACAACTACGTTATTACTTTTAATATCTTCATGCAGTAAAGTATGGTGTTTTGCTTTGCAAATAGAACACACATTCTGCGATGAACAAAATTTTAATTGATGATTTCCGAAACAATTGAAACATAATAAATTCTTGCGAATGATATTTTTCCTAGTCGTAATATCTGCACCTTTAAATTTATAACACTTTGATAAAAAATGACAACCATTGCAATGCTGACATTTTAGAACAGAATTTTTTATTATTATGTGAAACATTCTTCGAAACAGCAGCACTGATTTTTATGCGATACTCGCTTTTCATTATTATGAGTGTTTAACATTTCAAGTGAAACACACCTTGAGTTTAAGAATTCCAAAAAACATTCTAAGGTAGGAAATTCTTCTTCATCACCATTTTTTTGTGACCATAAATGGCGCGTTTCTGGATCGACTTTTTCTAACAAAAAATAAATTAGCCAAACATCTCTAGACGAAAGCCTTTTCGCCAAGAGATTTTAATCCACGGATAACTTCATCAGATAGTTTTCTTAGATTAACAGAATCAGCGCTAGTAATTTTGGGTTGCTCAAGAAATGTTCTGACAAGCGACATTACAATTTGATTTTTTCTATCATAACGATTCATCAGTTTGTCCCAAGCCTCATCGTATGTAGTTTCGGAAATCGGAATGTGCTTAATAATAGCAGCTGGTTCGTCTGTTAAAAGTCCTATCAGATATTGAAATTTCTGAATTTTCGCTAATGACTGATTGGTATGAACTGTCGCCATGTACAGATCTTTAAAATTAAGCCAATCAGTATATTTACCATTGAAACTAGGAATGTTTAAACGCGGAAGTTTAGAGCTAGCCTCAACTGCAGTGGGATTTGAAATCAAAACATTTCTGGCCGTTACGGATTCAATGGTGCATTCAATGGACATTACTTTCGTTTCAAAATATTTAGCTTCGAATTCATCAGCAATTTCAGAAGCTTCTTCGGGTAAAGCAGCATCATATTGATCAAATTCCTTTAAATATTTGTTCAATTCTTTCTAATCGTGCTTTTTTTTTAATTCCGTTAAACTTAACTGATTACTGAAACTATTGTGAAGCCGCGTTAGGGTAGATTTCGTTCGTCCTCTTAATCTTTTAAGATCAGATTCACTTAATTCTGTCATTATTACCATGAATAATGATTATAACAGCACAAATAACTCAACAAGATACTTAAGCAGCAAAAAAATATTTCCGCTTATCTTTCTGACGTCACGCAGACGATTCGCAGTACCAGTACTTAAAAGTTCGTTAAACACAGTTCTAAAGCATATAATAATAACACATTAAATAGCATTAAATGCCTCACCTGGGGGAACCAATAGTTGCCTTGAACTAAAAAGCATCAGCTTTGTATAGTAAACTTTATTGTTATTCTAAAAGATGAAATATTTAAGAGAAAAATTGCCTGCAGCGCAGTGCGGCTAAGAACGCTATTCTACTGAAACATAAACATGAACAACTGTTGCCACTCACACAAACTTAATAGTAAAAAAAGCACGTTGCCAGTAACAAGATTATTGCAAAAATCATAACATAAAATTAAGCAGTGAGGAAATAAAATATACAAAGAAAAAAAAAAGGAATGCAAATATTAAATATGCATCCAACAAATAGTTTCTAAAAGCTAAAAGTGCACCCTCATAATTTTATAATATCTAGATTTATAAAAAAGCATCTTTTTAAGTTCATGAAAGAAGAAAAATAAATTTTATCACTTCACTGCTGAAAATTGTTCACTGCTAAAAATTGGTAAATAATCTACTTTGAAATCAGATTGAAACCTTCCAAAGAATTAAGGAAGTTAATCTTATTTTAAGATAGGAACGCAAAAATATGGATATTGTGCTAAGTAATAAGTTTAATTTCAAACTAAATTTTTAGAGTTATAATGAAACAATACAAAAAGAAAAAGAGAAACAAAACACGCTGGGAAAAAGAAAAAGATTAATAAATTGACTAAATACTGTGGAGAAAAATTAACAAGTTGGTGGCGAAGTTGAGATTGCAGTAAAATTACAACAGAAATTGAAGTATAGAAACGTTATTAAATATATTAGTCGGGTAGTCTTATTTAAATTTTGTGTTGTTATATATTTTTGATATTTAGCTGGTATTTTATTAATGCTTTAGGTATTTTTTGTGTACTTTATTATCATGTAGGATTTTATATTTTATTTTTTTTTAATTTATTTTTCGAAATTTTAGGTAACTGTGATTTTATTTTGGAATTTTCACGCTGCCTTTATACGTTTTGTTTTTGAATGTCTTCGAATCTTTTCTCACCAGTACGACCAGCTTTGCCTTTATTTTCTTAGTTGGGAATGTCTTTCGTGAGTGCAGGGACGTAGGTACAGGGATTTAAGAGGCGACATCTGCCCCAGGGCGTAGTATCTAGGGGCATCAAATTGATGTTGGGAATTTTATTTTTTTAAATATTTTCCCTTCTTGGTAAATAGAAGGGGGCACGAAATTTTCAGTTGTCCCCAGGCCCTGAAAACCCTAGCTACAGCTCTGCGTGAGCAGCACTTACTTCAAACCTTTAGGACTTTTTCTTCAACTCAATGACTTTTATGTAATTTAGTAGATCTATTTTTACTTCGTTGAAATATATGTACAAGGGATTATTTCTCGATGGAGGTAAATCTTAGGATCTTGTACTCCGGTGTTTGACACCACTCATAGACAGGATTTCTTTCCGTTTATAGCGATTTGTAGGCAAATTTCAGGATATTTCCAGGTGTGAGACACTTCCAGGTGTGAGTATATGAAACGTCATATGGCTTTGATATTCTTCAAAGTTCGCCGTCTTTACTCTAGTTTCTCTAAGACTGGGGTTTCATTACAGGGTCTGTGATCTATGGAGTAGCTAATGGGATTGGGTTTTCGTCTTTATGTAGTGAGCAGTTATAGGTCAAATGACCTTTCGTATACTTTAGATATCTTGTTAAAATATCCCTTCTGGTAGTATATGAAACGTTGGTAGCGAAAGAGTTTCCGACCAGATGAGATCGACTTATTTTTCTAATCCTCCTCTTCTCTGAAGCAACGGAAGGCAAAATTTGTATTATATCAATTAAACAGAAACCGAAACTTAACTCTATGGTGAAACGATAAGAAATTAACACTAAAATCTCTATCTAACCTCGGTGATTTATGACGTTTTATATTTTATCAAAGCTAAAATTAACTTTTATATCTGATTTTGTCATTTTTTCTGTATCTTCTGAAGAGAAATAGAGAGATGAAAATATTAAAAAAACCAAGAAAAAAGAAACCACTACTTTTACTATTTTGAAATCCTTTCTTTAAACTGTAAGCTGCGTGAAAAACATTTTGTGCTTATCGTCTTCTTAACTTGACGTTGATAACGGTTTGTTGATATTTGTAGCAGCTGGTTGATTATGATGATGCACTAATCCCTCCTGTTTCCTATTCTTACTTGACAACGAATATATTTAGATTACTACAAGTGTGTGTTTAATGCATGAGTCGCTCTGACTATATTTTTTTAAGTTACACCGCTTTCATACCTGGTGCAACACCCAGCATGTATAATAGGATATAATTTTGGAAAAAAGTAAGAAAATTTCATTTTATATATATTTTTGAAACTATATCAGATTTTTATTGCGTCAGAAACTTTACAGTAAGAAATTAGCAAAAATAAGTAGATGGTGATATTCTAAATCAAAAGTTGCCGTATGTTAGCTTGCCGGAACAAATAAAATCATATGGTAAAATCACATACATAATTATGCCTAATTTATTATTGTGAATTTATATAGGTACAGTCACACAACTGGATATACGTATTTTTCATTAATTCCTTATTTTTACCGCAGTATGTATTTACGTGTTGGTTTTGATGGTTGTATTTAATGTCATAGGTCACACACGACAGTACGACAGCTTTAACATTTAAAAATCCATTTAGAAAACTCGTTACATGCATTTGTATTTGTATCCATTCAGCATTAGCCATTAATTTGTTCGTTTATAATGCATTTTATTCAGGGAACTTTTTCATTTTGAACTGTATAAGAATTGTGAAGTAAACACAGAATGTGTAAAATATATGTTTCTAATAGTTTTTATAGTTACTTTAAATGTATTTTAAAATATTAAAATCATTAAAAGCGTAATTTTAATCTAATGAGTTTTTCTCATCTCCAGCTTGTTTGAGCATTGCTGTTTAATTGAATGTATTATTTTGGTTAAAATGGTTAGTTTATGCATCAGACTACTGAAAAACTATTCCCAAACTTAAAAACATTAGAAAATTATTGAATTTGAAGCTGCTAAAGTATTTGCAGCTATTTATATTAAACGTAATTTTTACTGTTATTCAGCAATTATTATTTTTCAGGATAAAACACATTATAGTTTTAAAAAAAACCTTCCTTGTTTATAAGTCAACATTTCATACTATGTAATATAAACATATAAAATATTCACTGCTTTACTATCACTCAACATTCTTTAATTTTTTTTACCTGCTAAATGTATCAAAAAATATATTAAAGTAATTTGTTTATCTGTTAATAATGTTTCATTAAAAAGCCTTAGAGGTTACTTCTGCCTAAGATGCAAAAGTATCTGTACAGTCAGTGGTAGTATTGCTGTTTGAATATTGTAATAAAAACAGTACAGTGGAACCTTAGAGTTGCCGAATTTAATTCATTCTTGAAAGTTATTCATTGTGCGAAATGTTCATAAACCGAAACAATTTTCCCCATAGGAATTAATGTAAAATAAATCAATTTGTTCTTGAATCACAGATGATTGCTTATTTAAACATTACAACAGTATTTTGTGCACAAGTTCATTATCCAAAATCGATGGAAATTAGTTAATTATTGAAAAAATTATAAACACAGTATTAAACATGTAGATTAGACAAAAAAATTAATTTTGATGAGGAAGATGTTATTGTTTAGAGCAATGAAATCTACAAATTCTACCTTTTACTGAAAGAATACGAGCTAGTTTTCATGCAAATATTTCTCTAGCTGTTCTTCTACTTCACTGAATGAGTTGCCTGCATGAGATTTTCATGATTTTACCATGTTAATGTAAATACAGGGCAATTTTCTGTGGGAAATTCTTCATAAAGCCATCTGATCTGTTAGGCACATAGTTATTCTCTGTTTTGCATTAATTAATTCCATTCATAGGTGTATATTATGTTTCTTTCAGTCTTGCAAAATGGATGAAGAACCTGTTACATGTAATTTGAATTGCAGTGACTGTGAGCATCTAAATGTCACAGATAATTTGCCACCCGATGAAATTGACGTCAATTATTCATCTTGCAGAGAGTATGATGATGAGTATGTTTATTCTAATGTTTTTATTTGTAAACATATACCATAAATTTTATCAATTATACAGTCAAAAGTCGTTAATTTGGACACCCATAATCCGGAATGATCTATAATCCGGACCTCAAAGCTAAAAACTTTCTGCGCATGCACCGCATTGACACATGCGCATAGGCATTTATGCGTACGCGTAAGACCTTTTACGACTTCTCATATGCATTTGCGCAAGAGCAGAATACGTTTTCGTGTGCGCGTTTTATGTATAACGGACAGTATAAGCTAAAATTATCTAATTATCTGTTTCAGTTAATGTTGATGATTGCGTTGTTCCTTAATCTTCGAATTGGATCCGTCTTATTATTTTTTGCAGACTGTAAGAGCAATACTATAAAAGTAAACTTAAACTTTCGATTATGTCAAATAGAATTACCGATTCTGGAGCTCCCAAAGGATCGTACAAAACGATAATATGTTTCGATGTCCATCAAACAAAAATGGAATTGCTGCAAAAAATGGATAAAGACATGAAGAACGTGAAAGAGAGGTTAGTGAAAACGAAAAAATTTCGATTGACAAGTTGGTCGGTATTCTCGGCACAGCAATTAACGGGATTTGAACAGCGGAACTTTGTAACTGAACAAAAATTATGTCTGTTTATAGAATAAAGAGAAAGTATTATCACATAAAACTAAGCAACTTAAACACTTACATTGAAAGAAATGTTTAATAAAGTAAACAAATAAATATTAAGCTTTTTCTTTTGTAAATTTTGATACCCTTTAGATCATAATGTTTCTTTATTTATAAATTATGGTTTCATATTTTTAATTTTGTAATTTCTGCATGCTATCTTACCAAATTTAAACTGATGATCTGTAATCCGGAATCGCCGAAGTTCCGACGAGTCCGGATTAACGACTTTTGACTGTACCATAAATTTTTATCAATTATAATAACTTTTAATGACGATTAAAATTGCTGAAGTTTTCACTTATTTTTTCTGTGATGTTAGTATAATTTAATGGTTCTTCTAATGTTAACATAAGGACTTTAATAAAATATTAATATTCTCTTTGCATTATATATCATCTTCTAATAATCTTATTTATGCTTCTCTGGGATTCAAACTGTAGCCCTTTGGCATGGCAGACAGCGATTCTAATCACTTTACCATTTGGGTGGCATTCATTTTGTATTTCTCTCTATAATTACTACTAACATGTAGACATATGTCATGCAGTAAATTATTTGTTGAAAGATTTCTCAACTAGCTCTTGCAACTGATCATTCACCTCGTCATCAACAATATTGTTGTTGACAATTTGTAAAAGCCCCTCAACTTTCCTTTCTGATTTGGTTATTTTGTTTTTCTGTTCTAAAAATAGTAAAATGCTTATAGTGAAGCTTTCCAAAATTAATTTTGTTTTGTGTGATTCTTATACATAAATGAATCATATTTGTACATAAGAGAAAATGTTAAACTCAAGTTTTTTATCTAATAATAATCAAACAAAAACTTTGGCTAATCTTTAGAATATGGTAACAGGTAGTTTGGCGACATTTTGGTAAGGCGATAAAGGTTACTAGCTAGGACTTTAGTAGAGTACACAGTTCGAATCAGGACTGTGTACTCTACAAATGTACTGTGTACTACTGTAAAGAGATCTGAGAAGTACACGGTTCGAATCACAGATTATTTTGTCTGAGAGAAATAAGAGATCATGAGACATGTAATGTGACATTTTCCAGAAAATCCGATCGTGATTTTAGCTAATAAGCACTTAGAAACAATTTCCTGCTAAAGTGCAGAATCGCCCACTTATTTGTTTGGCGCTTTTTACAAGAGTAAGAAGATTGGATTTTGTCAATTTCTTTGACTTTTTAGTGAAAATAGGTCGATGTGTACATAGATAAAGTCAAGAGTGTGCGCAATTCCATTTTTGTGCAATTTTGGGATGTTTTTTTAAGTGAAAATAGGTCGACGTGTACATGGATACCGTGTATGTGCGATTCTTAAAAGCGCGGCAAACGGTTTGCGATTCTGCACTTTCTCCCAATTTCGCACCTAATCTTCGTCATGATTAAGCATTTATGTTCGATAAAAGTTCTAGTATAAACGTAATTCGGCTAGCAGATTGCTGGAAAAAATGTTGAGTTAAAAAATAAATAAATAAATAAATAAAATGCCTTTACTTCGTGAAAACAAAATGGCATCCAAAAACAAAACTAGCAGGTTTGCTGTAGCAGGGTTGGCGCCAAATTTTCGCCAAAAAATCGGCAAGTTACCATAATGTAAAGATTCACCAAAACTTTTATTGAACAAATTCATTAAGAATTAAAGCAATGCTGTGTCAATGTATTGAAAATTAAAGTCATTTCACCTTACTTGATTATTCTTAAAAACATATTCTTTTCTTCCTTGTCTTATTCTCAGAGCATGTCATCTGTACTTCCTCCTTTTTTGTCTACACTTATAAAAGTTAGGGGAAACATGTTCATATGAAGCAAAAATGGGACATCTACATAGCACAAACAAAATGAGGCTTAATTGCAGAAGTAAAAAAAATTATAGAAAAAATTTTGACATAAGTATTAGCAACAGAGCCTACATAAAATTTTAAGGGCACCTTAAAGAACTTTGTCTATCTCAAGAACATACCATCATAAAATTTTGTTATAAAGAAGTGTTTGGGGGGGGAGTTAATTGAAATTTTAGACCTGCTTTCTCCAGAACAGTAATCAGATTATTTTCAAAATTCTGTGACTGGTGCGCTTACTCAAAATATTGAAAGACAATGTGATAACGTTAAAAAAAAAAAAAAAAATGCAGCTTTGTGACACATCTTAAGATTCATGTTTAGACGAATTTGTGACACTGTCTTCAGAAAGATGAGGATTATTTTGTTGCTATTTTATGTGGTGATAGGGAATTTTGATTGCTGGAATGGTTGGCATGAGTTGTAAGGGGTCTGTTTGTCAAATAATCGTAATGTTTGACCTTATATTTATATTTAGTTTTTTAGGTGCTGAAGTATTATCCCATTGACCATAAACCTGATAAATTCATGGGATATCCTCCAGCTTTCACGATCTGTGAGAAAATACATAAATATCAGCAGTACTGAGGAGTAGTATCACTTTTCACCCTTTCTTTTCATAAAAGCAAAAATCCTCTTCAGATTTCTTAAAGTAGTAATTTCCTAAAGTAGAACTACCCGTATTAAATTTTTAAGATATAGTCAGTAAGCATAAGTTCATTTTAAACTGTGTGTCACCCGAGTCCACTTAATGTTATTTTATTTTTAGTGTTTTGAGTGAAGCAGAGAGATTAAAGAGACTTGAAGAAGAACAAGAACAGCTGAACTCTTCACTTATAGCATTAACAACACATTTCGCTCAAGTACAGTTTCGCCTTAAACAAATAGTTGATGCTTCTCAAGGTGAAAAAGAGGTAATTATATTTTGCATTAATGTTATCTACTTAAAATTTTTCAAACTTGTATGTGTATGCATGCTTTAAGTATCACCATACTGAAAGCTTGGGGATGACCTGTGCCCTACTAAAAATATCTCAAGAGTTCTCAAGACCCAGGAGCTTGAAACTTTGTAAATGAGTGTTAGATCATGCACATGGGTGCAAATATATATTGATTAGTCATTATAATAAATATTTTTATGTTTCTAATATGGTGTAAAACATTGTATAGAGAAATTTGCATTTACTTTCATGGGCAAAACTTTTAAATATTTTCAGTTTTAAATGTCTTTGTGATTATTAAAATGCTTACTGTGTTGTTTGATATGGTTATTAAACTTTTATCTTTCAGAATTTGTTAAAAGAATTAGAAGAATTTGCTTTCCGAGGTATTCCAGACATTAGAGAGTATGAAAATGGATTAGATTTAACTCAAATAATTGTAAGATATTTTTGTTTATATGTCATATACTTTTAGAATTATGTTAATAACATTATTCTTTAAATTAATAATATAAATGCTGTTAGGAACATTTATTTAAGCTAGGAGTTCTCAACTTGGGAGGGAGAAAAGTTGCTTGCCTTAAACTTTGTACACCCAAACTGTTTAAAAAAAAGGTTCACTGCATGGGTATAATCACATAACTAGATCACTGTTAAGTAAAAAAGAACCAAGAGCAAAATTTCCCTGTTCAGTGTAATGAATGTTATAAGCTTTACATTTATATTTTCAAGCATAGAATGCTTTTCAATACTACATACTTGCATATTTACATACAATACAGCAATTGGATCGAAATGCTCTGGAATGACTCTCTGATATAAAATGAAAAGAGGTAAAAATATTTAGAAATCTCTTCTTTAAAATGTTCATGTTCTATGGTAAATATTTCAGTATATTCTAAAAACCACTATGTATCTTTTTTCTCAAATGTCTCTGATTTGCATTTTATCTTTAACTGCTTGCCTGATTATCCCGAGTTATCTCGGGTTCATATATATTGCAGTTAATTATTATCCCGAGAAAACTCGGGCGAAGCAGAATTTGTTAGTACGATTTCTTTTATCACGGTTTTACTCGGTCTGGAGGAAATGAAAGGAAATATTCAGCTGTGATTGGCAGTTTGCCAAATTTTGTTGGTTGCGCGGTTTTTTTGGAGGGACTGATCACGTTTCCCTATTGTATACAGTCAAAAGTCGTTAATCCGGACTTCTCGGGACTTCGGCGATTCCGGATTATAGATCATCAGTTTAAATCTAGTAAGATGGCATGCAGAAATTACAAAATTAAAAATATGAAACCGTAATTATGAAATAAGAACAATATATCTAAAGGGTATCAAAATTTACAAAAAGAAAAGCTTAATATTTATTTGTTTACTTATTAAACATTCCTTCAATGTAAGTTGCTTCGTTCATGTAATAATACTTCTCTTTAATCTATTAAACAGACTAATTTTGTTAGTTACAAAGTTCCGCTGTTCAAGTCCTATGATTGCTGTGTGAGAATACCGACTAATTGTCAATCGAAATGTTTCGTTTTCATAACCTGGGTCACTTTTTCACTATCGGAAGGATTAAATGACGAGGAACTTGATTAATCATATCAAAGACGGAGTACATCGAGATGAAATATACACTTAGTACATGGAATATAAACCAAATAAAATAAAAACATCTGCCCTGAAGATAAGGATAGTGCTGACAGATTAACTTCCAATCCGTGGCGTGAAATTGATAAAACAGATTTCGGATTTCAAAAACATACTTTCGCTTTGTAGATACAAATTACAATTAGTAAATATAATCGGAAATTCTATTTGACATATCTTTCTAATCTATCATAATTAATAATGACGTTTCTTCCCCCCCCCAAACATACATTTCAAAACATACTTTCGCTTGTAGTAAATAATATCGGAAATTCTATTTGACATAATCGAAAGTTCAGCTACTTTTATAAAATTGCTCTAACAGTCTGCAAAAAATAATTAGCCGGATCCAATTCGAAGATTAAGAAACAGCGTAATCTGCAAAATTAACTGAATTAGATCATTTTAGCTTAGCCTATACCGTCCGTTATACATTAAAAGCGCATGCGCACACGCATATTCACAGCCGTAAAGGTCTTACGCGTACGCGTAAATGCCTATGCGCATGCATCAAGCTTATACCGTCCGTTATACATTAAACACGCAAGCGCACACGCATATTCGCAGCCGTAAAGGTCTTACACGCACGCGTAAATGCTGTGTGCATGCGTGAACGCGACGCATGCGCAGAAAGTTTGTAGCTTTGAGGTCCGGATTATGGGTGTCCGAATTAACGACTTTTGACTGTAGTATACGTTGGCTTGTGGATTAGTAATGTATAAAGAAGGATCCATGTGTTGGAAAAAAATAAAATAATGGCGATGACGGAAGATAGTGAAAGCGATGATTTTTCAGATAGTGATTATGAAGAGGTGGGGGGAAAAAATCAAATCCAACGAGACAGTGCACTCTGTGCTCCCGTGAAAGAGATTCCAGCGGTAAGCCAGTAAGAAAAGAGACCAGATACCAGTGTAGAATGTCACATATCGCTCTGTTGTCCCTTGTTTCAAAAACTATCATACAAAGATTAATATTTAACTCTTTTTCGTTTGCCCGAGATAACTCGGGATAGTAAACTAATATTAAAAATAAATGCTTTTATACCTTCAAAAAATTCAAAATTCAACTTAAAACCTACATATTTTGATTTGTTTCGTTTTGCTGTATTTAATAATAAAATAAAAAAATGTGATGATTTTTTACAATTTTTTTTCAAAAAAATTTGTAAGGGGAGCGGTTAACTCTGCTTCACATCAGTTTCGATTAATGAGCAAAAAACTGTAAATTTTTTTTATAGATTCCATGTTTCAACTCTAAGACAATGGAATTCTGCATCCTTCTTGATGCATAGATTGCAGAGTTAGGAGATAATATTTTCATAAATTAATAATTACAGTCAAAAGTCGTTAATTCGGACACCCATAATTCGGAATGATCTATAATCCGGACATCAAAACTAAAAACTTTCTGCGCATGCGCCGCGTTGACACATGCACAGAGGCGTTCACGCGTGCGCGTAAGACCTTTTACGACTGCGCATATGAGTGTACGCAAGTGCAGAATACGTTTTCGCGCGTGCATTTTATGTATAATGGACGTATAAGCTAAATAATTATCTATTTCAGTTAATGTTGATGATTGCGTTGTTCCTTAATTTTCGAATTGCATCCGGCTTATTATTTTTTGCAGACTGTAAGAGCAATTTTATAAAAGTAAGCTTAAACTTTCGATTATATCAAATAGAATTTCCGATATATATTTGTTAATATGTAAAGGATCTAAAGCGAAAGTATGTTTTGAAATCCGAAATCTGTTTATCAATTTCACGCTGCTCGGCGGGGGGAATGCCTCGGCGCACAATGAATTGGAAGTTGATTTGTCAGCACTATCCTTATCTTCAAGCGCAGATGTTTTTATTTTATTTGGCTATAATTCCTTACCAAATGTAGTATTTCATCTTCGATGCACTGCTTCGTCTTTGATATGATTTAAAACAAGTTCCTCGTCATTATAATTCGCTTCCGATAGTCGAAGAAAGTGACAGAGGTTATTGAAAACAAAAAAATTTCGATTGACAAATTAGTCAGTATTCTTGACACAGCAATTATAGGACTTGAACGGCGGAACTTTGTAACTGAACAAGAAAATTATGTCTGTTTAATAGAATTAAAGAGAAAGTATTATCACATGAAACGAAGCAAAACTTAAACAACTTACATTGAAAGAAATGTTTAATAAAGTAAACAAATAAATATTAAGCTTTTTCTTTTTGCAAATTTTGATACCCTTTAGATCATAATTGTTCTTTATTTCATAAATTACGGTTTCATATTTTTAATTTTATAATTTCTGCATGCCATCTTACGAGATTTAAACTGATGATCTATAATCCGGAAAAATCGATAATCCGGAATCGCCGAAGTCCCGACGAGTCCGGATTAACGACTTTTGACTGTATTGAAAAAATTCTAGATCCATTGCTAGATCCTGTTATGTTTTGTCATATGTTAAAAAATTTAAATAAATACTGAATTTAATTAAGGTGATTATTCCATTATATAATCAAAAATTTAATTTCTGTTGAATAATTTTTTGATCCTCCATTATATTAATTCATTTCTTGGAGATTAAATTTTTCCCTTGCAGGAGTGCTGTTTGGCTAAATTCTGATAAAGAAAAAAGAAGCAGATTATTGTGCAGTTAGTTATGGCTGCATATAACACTGTGCAGTAATACAAGTTATAATTTTACTGTTGAAATATTTTTAGAATTGAATATATTGTATATTGTTGAATATATTGAATTGTTGAAATATTTTGATAGTCATATATATATCATTCATTTAAAGTGAGTTTAAAATTGCACTGGAGCCTGAGTTTGGTACTTCTCAGTTTTTAAAATAAAACATAATTACACCCAGAACCTAATTTTGAGGAGCTCCACTACTTCTTTTATGCAATGAAATCACAATTTCGGCAAAAAATTCTTTTGATCTCATAAAATTTAGTTTTAGTAGTAACTCAAAAAAAAATTTGTAACCCCTGAATGCATATCTATCTATGTTTTTTCTTTTGAATCTTCTCTCTTTGTTTTCTTCGTTAAAATTCCCTTCTGTGCTCTCACATTGCTTATAGGTGTTTGTCACATTGGTAAGTGTTGCTTACCATTTTTCATTGATGTGCTGCAAAAAGAACAAATGATCTTTTTTTCTATCATCCCTTGATATAGTACATTATGCTGTGTATTCAGGACTTAAATTGAGCTGGCTTCACTATTCTAAGTGAAATAGTAATTCTAGCCAGAGTCTTAAATAAGACAAGATCTAGTTTTTGGTTTTATTATCCGAACATCTCTTAATTACTTCTTAATTCTTATCAACATATCTTATTGCATAATATTTCTGATTACATGACACAGCCCAATAGGGGCAACCTACACCCCACAATTTTGAACTATGCAGTCACATTTAATAATAGGAAATACTGTGGAGCAATGGACATTGGTTATGCAAGCAACAGTGGGCAAGATATGTAGAAAGTAACTGGAGTATTTATTCTCAGAGTATGAGTTCTTCGAGTTCTTTGTATGAGTTCTAAATAATGTCTGGATAAAAGCTCACAACAATGTGGATCTCTTCCGGAAAAGAGTGACATAAAACAGTGCAATATGCATTCTTGAAGAGGGGATGTACTTCAGTTGAAAGTTAGAAATTTAACCCTTTTGGTCCTAATGGGCACATACCTCTCAGAGATTAGATTTCATGACCTATTGGGTAAATAAAACCCACTTTTAAATGGGTTTTTACATTTGCAGTCTTTTGTTGTATATAAACTGGTGCATGTGGTAGAGTTTACATTTTGTAATATTCACATTATATATTACCACAAATTTTAGTTTTGTTGTCTGAGAAAGGGTAATATCCTAGACGATTGGGACAAATAGTCCCAGTTGACAATACAGACATATTATCCCAGGAGATTTCCAGAAAATGGGAAAAGATAAAAAATTTAAACTTATAATACACTTCTTTTAGTATGTCAGCATTAAATTAAACTACTTTTCATAGTTAAATTTTAATCATGCAATAGTCGGGTCGTAAAGGTTAAGGGTCTATTGTCAAATTTTGTTACATATTTTGTATTTTACATATGTATATATTAATTTTAAGTGTTATGTTACATAGAAAGAAGTTGCAAGAAAAGTTACATAGAAAGAAGTTACAAGAAAAGTTGCATAGTGTACAGTTTTGGGTATTTCTTTGATACAGTGGCCGCAGTCATAGGTACTTGCGTTCAATGCCACCGCAGCTGCAGATTTGGCGGTTTTTAAGTGCCGCCAATCTACGCCTAAAATTTTTGCGAGAAATCATAAATTAAAACACTTTATTTAAAATCAAAATACTTTCAAAAATCAAAACAATTTATGTATAATTAAAGTAATCAATCAGATTTCGGTAGAAAATGGGCCGATATAGAGTTTAACATAGATTCAAAAGTCTCTATTTTTTTTTACCTGATGCTGTCGCCATATGAACTCTGCTAAATAAGATTCTAAATGATGTCTCGCTGTCCCCCTATGTCTCTTTTTATTCCATTTAGCATTGCCCGACATTTTTTCAACTGTTTGTATATGTATCAGGATCAATAAAATTGTATTTATGATTAACTTTAGCATGTAGAAATCCTTCTTTTTCTATTCTATTTGTTTGGTAACCTTTCCAACTGTCAGAATAAATTGTGCTGCCATCTGCAATGTTTTCAATAATTTTATTAAGAGTAGAATGCTTTATTGGCACATCAGCGCAACTTCTGCTGCGGTACGTAAGTACCCAGTCATATTTGGTGATTTCAGATTTGTGCCAAGATCTTGGCTATAATTTCACCAAATTCATGAAGTGCAAAAGTAAAAATAAATAACACAATATATAATAGTAACAATACATGTTTTTTCCTAAGAATATTTTTAAAGAATACTCATCCTTATTGTTATGTTATTGCATGTAATTAATTGTTTCAGTTAAGTGCTGCACTTTTACACATATTAAGCTGTTTGTTACACCATTTCATGGATGTCAGCTCATCTGCTTAAGTATATATAAATCTAATAACAGTGATGAACGATATTCTGAAACCACTGAATCAACTTCAGACACAGAGGCCCTTCTTCTTTTTGCAATTTTTATCATTGCACCTCCGAATGGTTTCATTGTTATCATAAAGTTTCATGTTGTGGCCATTTTCACATAATCGTTTGTTAGGTAAAAGACCTCTTTCTTGAAAAAATTATATGGCTTCCACCTCATTACTTGGTAAATTAAAGATGGTTATCATCATATTCACAAAAAAAGCGGTAAATATATTTTTAAATCAACAGTGCAAATTCAAAAACCCCATCAAAAATTAATAATATAAGATCATGTGGTGAAAGCAAAAGTGCAACACGTTGCTAATATATGATTACATGTTGAGGTATAAGAAAACGCAGCCAGTGCTAATATTCGATCACGTGACGAGGTATAAGAACAGGCAGCGAGATTTTGGCAAGAAATCTCGGCTCTTGTGGCCAGCTGTAACAAAGAAGTACTCAGTTTTCTTAAATTTACTGTATGTAATATAACAAATTAACCCTTTTAATTCATAAAAGTATTAAAGTGAGTGTTCTTAAATTATGATGGTCTATTACAGCATTAAACATGCTTTATTATAATATTGTTATATATTTTATTCTAGAATGAACAAACTCAAGAAGTTAAACTTGAACAACAAAGAACCAGGCAGAAAGAACTGATTAATAAATTGAAAGAACAATTAGAAGATCTAGAACATTATGCTTATGAAGTATAAATATTAATTTCTATATTTTTGTGTAATTTCATTCCTTTTTAATTACATATTATCATGATTGTAATTTTGTGGATTGGCTATGATAAAAATATGTTCTTAAATTCATTAACTATTGATTTTATACAAAACGTGATTTTTGAATAGTTACAGTAAAACAGGTAAATGTATTGTCATAGCAGTAAAACATTTACAGTTTTGCATCAAATATCCAGGTAATGAGTAAGTTTATTCTTATATTGAAAACTATCAGAATTCTCTTATCCAAGTGTTCATCTTCTTTAATTGCAAAACTTTTCAGATTATCTATAGGTTCTGCTTTCAGTTTAAACAGGTCCTCTCCCACAGTCTCTAAGGAACTTTGCATCAAATATGAATTTCTGGAGAACTGAAATAACTTACAATAGCCCTTAAATGTCACAAACATACCTATTTAATGCTTAGTGTGCATGAAAAAAATTTAAATATTGAATTTTTTAATAAAAACATGAATACATTAATTAGAACTTGATCCACTAATATTACTATTTGTCTCTTAACTACTCATTCACTTTTCCTTCTAAAATAAGTCTTCATTACTAGTGAACAAGATATTCTTGAAGACATATACACAGTTAATGATTTGATGTCTCTTTTTAATATAAATGTATAACAGATTAAAGTAATACTTTAAACATGTATTTTATACAATTATGGTATAGAGCAATGGTTCTCAACCTTTTGACTAACGTACACGATCTAAACAGAAACTGAAAAGCTTTAGTACCACCACTACATTTTACAATGATTATTTTTCAGTTTCTTAATAGAAATATTTAAAAATATATATATTTTGCTGTTTGCACAACCGGTTGGATATTTGTAGCAAATATGCACACATAAAAAATATTAGATTAAAAATTGGTTACCATTTTAATTATCAAAATTTAAGTGGTAATACTTTAATTCTAAAATTTAAAATTTTTAATCTTTTTAAACAGACTTGTTTAAAAAGGTTTTGTGTCAAAGAAAAGTAGCAAATCTAAATAATTTTGCTTCAAAGTACACTATGTAAGGTGAAGAAAATCATGAAATTTATATGTTTCAGTAATGACCAACCATTAATTTAACCTGTAATCCACAAACATTAAAATGCATTTTTCATGACCCTAAAGAATAAGTTAAAATGTAAATTTGATTTACACATAACATAACCTTAAAGCGGACACCTAAAACAATACGCTGTTCCATAGATTGATTCTCTACCTCACAACATGTGAAAGTATCAAATTTTGTAAAAACTGTATAAATGGAGATATTTGTCATGTTATCTACTTCATTCAGTCCTTTAACCCCTTCGTGCCGACTGTCACATATACATGCCAGCAACGAACACACTTATCTACTGGCCGACACGCAGGCGTGCCAGAGCCCTGTTGCGTTTTCTACCGACTGTCACGTATTTGTGCCAGTACCTTGGAACGTTTTTCAAACTATAATTTCTGCGATAAGATGGCACTGTATGCCCATATGGTTTCAGGTACATGTACATTAGACCTTCTACTCGAAATGAGAGAAGCATGACTCACATACACGCGTTTTTGATTATATAAACAAACGGGAACTAAATGTTTCCGAATGTCGTGATTTATGACGTCTCTTTAAATCGCACTTTATTCGCACGTGGTAGTTGTTTATTGTAAAAAGAAGTTTTATATGCGCTAAAGCATTGAGTATTTCGGTTTGCAGTTCAGTTTTTAGAAAATGATTAGATCTTGTTAGACGTGAATTCTTTCTGTTTTTACCGTTGCAATGTCGAAGCGTCAAAAATGTTTAACAGAGCATGAAATAGCAGAAATGATGCAAAATATTTCAGATATTGATTCTGATATTCTGATATTGATTCTGAAAGATTAACTGAAAGAAATTTTCCAAAACTTTGTTCAGAAGAGACTGATAAGAAAATGAGACGACGATGCTTCGTTTGTTCACATTCCCGGAAAAATCCTCCAAAATGGCAAATGAGTTATTACGAGTGCAAGGAATGTAACGTAGGACTGTGTGTAGATCCCTGTTTTCAAATTTTTCATAGGAAAAGAGAATTTTAAGTAATATATTTAGTTTTCAGATGTATAATGTTAAAAGTCATAAAATGGTGAGTAATTAAAATAAAATATGTGAAATATGCATTTAAACAAGAAATAAGGTAATTAAAGTATATATATAACAATATTTATAAAGCATAAGCCGTTTAAATACTCTATAGAGCATTATTAAACAATGCATTGATACTTCGGAAATTTCATGGATTTAGGCTTAGTACCAAAAAAGTCCCCAGTCCTGGAGAGACGCTCGCGTAAGACACTGCCGGCCTCCGAGATAAGTGCGCGTTTTCGCTACCCTGCTCGAAGGGGTTAAATACACTGTATAATACAAGTTCTTCGAAAACAAGCTACAGTATTCTCAAATCGAGTAGTAACGTAAGGAATACAAAGCAACATGAAGACAAAGTAGCAAATTGATGTAAATAATTAGTCTAATTAAAAATAGAGCAATATAAACCTGGAAATGGTGGCAATATAAAATGTAGACATGCTAAAATTAATCGATGAACTCTAAAAGAATAAATGAGATGCTATTATCTTTTTTGGAAACTTATTTTTATTTCCTGTTAACTATCACTCCTTTTAAAAGTATAATTTATGACAAATTTGTTATTTCTATCTCTAAAAGAATATTTGTGAAAATAAAAACAGATTATTTTGCTAAAGTCTGTGAGCGGCTATTGACCTTGACAAAGCTCAGATCGCATAAATTTATGAGTGTTAAAGAAAAGAAACTTAAACAGGATGTTATGGTATTTGAAGTTTAATAGTTAAAAATACTTTGTTTCTTTGCATACCAGTGGTTGAAAATCGCTGGTATAGAGTATGTGTACCTAATCATGTAAATTTCTTAACTGAAGTTTATATTTTCAAGAGTTAAAAATTTGACCTTGTTATAAAAGTATTACATATTCAATAACTATAGGTTTTACCTTTTATATCATAGACAGGAGAAGCTGGAATGCCACAAAGCATGTTGCTTGAACGTCAATCAGTTATTATTGAACAGCTAAAGGGAAAGCTTCTTCTCAATTTGGATGAGTTGGATAAGCTTAGTCCAGATGAGCTCCGGTCTCAGGTTGATGCTGCTATAAGAGAGGTACGTAATAAATATTGTCAGTACTATTTAAGGCAGCTTTAATATTATAAAATTGTGGCATTAAATGCAGATTACCTTATTTATTGTGCAATCTAATTTTTAAAATGAAAAATGCTTTCATAATGTTATTTAATTCTTTTGTCCTCTTAGCATTCAACCAGACAACATTTGTTTTTAACAGTTTAGCATTATTCTGTATTAAATATTAGTGATTTAAAATAGGCTCATTTTAGCTTTTTTTTTTCTAGTCTAATGATCCAGTATTATAATTTTGAATAATGTTAATTAAATAGCACATATGAATACAAGTTTGCTGTATTTATTGCATATAATTTTGAGTAAGTAAGTAAATTATGTATTGTTTAATCTTGGATATTGTGTTTCTGTGAACATGCTATAAAGCAATTTCTCATATTATGTTGAGACATGGTGTAAGAATATTGTTTATTGTATTACGAGGAATGGTACCAGACTTATAAATATCCAATCAGAAATGTAGAAAAGTACATATAGTATTCTTGTGTTACACAGAAGTTTAAAAATGCAGTTCATCGTAATATTATTTTTAAATCATAGTTAATCAAAGCAAATACAAATTACAACCCTTATTTAAAAGAATTTCAATAAATCTCAAAATAAAAGGTAATAAAATAATTTTGACTTGTGAATTATAACCTAAGCCTTAAAAAACATGTATTATCTAGGCAATATTTTTTTATGAATTTTATTGCTAAACTAATTTTGCAGTTTAAAAAAAAATTCATGAAATGTTTTTTTAAAAAATTCTGATATAGTAGATTTTAATATTTTTGTGAATTAAATTAATTTAGCAAATAATAACAATATTTCATTAAAATTTTATCAAAATTATATTGTAAGTTATTTTTTCTGCAAAATCCAAGCTAGAACTTTGCATCACAGAGTATTAGTTTGGAAGGTTGAACTAGCTGTATCTGTTTGTTTTGCGAAAAAACTGAGTGTTATTGTTTGCAAATTAAAAGCAAAGCTCCTGTCAATCTTGGTAAATATGCTGGCTGCCTCATCATTTTTGTTGTTTTCTCTACCTGTTATATAAATATGAGTGGTTTTCCTTAGGAAAGTTCTCATGAGGACATCTTCCCCCCTTGGGTAGATAACCCAAATATGCTTTGCTGTAATTAACTAAATAAACAAGCAATTTGCCAACTAGGCAGAAATTTCTTCAAGGCATATTTAATTTCATTTGTTTGTATGTTTTTAACGGTCTGTTCAAAAGTGAGGTTCAGTCAGTATTTAAATTTAATTTATGTAAAACTAGAAGAATTTCATGTTAAGGAAAGTTAAATTTTGGAATACGAAAAGAATTTATTTTCTTAAATTCCATTAAGTTATCATCTGTTGTCTGTCAGGATATACAAATAATACTGATAACAAAAAAAATCTATTTCTAAGTTCAAAACATGTTACAGAATAACAATGTTTTAAAACAGAAAATGTATGCATATAGGATGAAGTTTAATTAATGCCATTCACTTAAATGAAAATATTGATCGCATATAACAACTTAGATAACATTGCCAGAATTTGAAGGACTTTTTGGTAAGCGTGAGCGTAAGGAATATATAATACAATGCTTATTGCATACTAGAGTGAACTCCAAATGAACTGGGATAATGATGATGTCTATGGTTAACTCAAAATTGGATTAATCCAAAAGGAATTATGAAAACACATGAAAGGATAAGTTATATTATAATCAACAGAAAAGTACTATTAACAATTTACTTGCATTATCAAGCATTTATTCTGGGAAATAATTTTATTTGCTTATTAAATTACCATTCAAAATTAAAAGAACACATTGAAAATAGTGGTAGGGTAAGTATTGTTAAAAGTGAAGAAACTAAGTTCTAAATTATTATGATTTTATCTGCTATGTGATGCATTCTTATTTCTTTTCTTTATTTTATGTAGGTGGTTTTGTGTTACATTGATGGTTTATGGCAGTAATGTTTTTCAGTTTTTTATGGTAACCAAATGTAACATTTTGTTTAATTTGGTGTAGTCATTCCGCAGTCTGGTTAATCAAAAGTTGATCGTGGTTTATTACATTAGCTTTTTATATATGCTGAACTTTTTAAATATAAGCCTTATTTCTTTGGCCACAAGATAATTAGTGTAAATCTTAGTCCACTCTTCCCCCACCCCTTTATGATAAAATTATTACCCAGATAATGATTAGTGGTAAATTCTAACCTTAGAACTAACATGTGTGTATAACTTAGAGAACCAATGCTGTCATTATTATTAAGGGATTGTGGAAAAGCAGAGTATAATGTTGTCAACTGTTTAGTATCGTTATAAAAAGAAGTAATGCTTCTTGAAATATAAATGAAGGTATAAAAGTCATTGTTTGATTGACATTTGTTTTATAGAAATATATGCATTTCAGGGGACACAGGTCTTGTGTCCCTCTTCTTCAAGGAACAAAAATGTTATTGCTATGTGGACTAAGCATTTATTGGTTCCTCTGTTAGATAACACTTTTGTCCATTTTGATGAGCCCTTTCAACAAAAAATTTTATTTAACCAATATTTTTCTTCAGTGTTATGAATTGATAGCATAATTCATTTCACTTTTTAAATTAATCCCTAAGCTTCTTTCCTTAAGATTCTAATAACTCATTTAGCACTACAGTTCATTAGAAATTATTTTATTTGCCTTCTTTTGATCCCTATCTTGTCACTCAGCTTAAAAAAGATTCTTTCTGCCCTTAGTCTTCTCATACTGAAAAATTCAATTATTTGAAGCAACTCAATTATTAACTGCTTAGTGGCAGGTCTTCTACATCAATTATTGATACAGCCTAATAATACATAATAAACATTATTCTAACTCTTCTAAAAAGTAAAAATTGGAAGCACTTCCGCAGAGAACCCGGTTGATAATAGTTCAAACCTGGTAACCCAGCAGATTTATCCTATTCGCTTGTTCGAAGTTTGCAACCATTCCTCTTGGGTTCATTTTGTTGAATTATCACTGTCGTTGTTCGCATTTGCAGATTTATATTATTCTTCTCTTATTTATTATTATTTTTTCTGAATTTTTTAACAACGAATGGATAGAAATATTTTCGTACATAGATGCCGGTTCTCGGTTCGTGATGAAAGGAAGAAAATACGGCGGGAGGGGTGAATGCTAATTTGTAACACAGCTGTTCACGTTGTGTTCTTAATTATTAACAGCTCTAAGAACCAGCAATTTAAATAACTAAGTAATGCTTTTATTTTTATTATTGGTTATTGTCATCTAAAATGAGAATAAATATATTTTCTGGCTTAAATTTTAACAATATATTGTTAATGCTTTTCTAACAATAACCTTTCAGAGGATGGCTGGTGTGACATAAACAGATGATTAAATTGAAATAAAAAATATTATTGATTACCTAAGATGACAGAATAGTTTGATGCATCACCATGGTCATCAAAATTAGCAAACCACTGCTGGTGTAAGGAATATATTGTTTTCTGTATTAACTGGAATTTAAGACAATTTTTTTCGTTTATCACATTTAACCAGTTAATTTCAGTACATTAATACTAATTTATATTTTTTAAATGAATTTTTTATTTCTGTTATAAATGCTTATATATTGTCTTATACTTAATATATTCTTTTCTGTGCTAACTTGAATTTAATACAAATTTATTTAGTATATCACGCTTGACCAGTTAGTTTTGCATCTACATGCTTATTATCTGTGAATTTTTACTACCATATGCTTAATATATTGTTTTGTCTGCTAACTTGAATTTACATGCACTAAAAATCACGTTTGTGGCTCAGCTCATTGCCGATGAAACGCGAGCTTGGCGAGTAAAAATGCAACGGCGCCAACGGGTTCTCTGCGGATGAAAACCCTAAAAATTTTCTGTATAGTCATGTTATCAAATTATTTATCCCTTTATTATCTCTACAAAACTACCCACATTCTTAATAAATTAAACTTGGAAGTTATTTTGATCTTCTATTAATAAAATTTGTTAAATACTTTTTAGAGACCTTTCTTTCTCCCTCTTTTCAAGTTTTAAGAAAATTTCTGATCAGTGTGATTAAACATGCATCATTCAAGCTGAGAAAGAGCTGAAATTTTAAAAATAAAAAGCATGGATCTTGTATATAAAGAAATAATTGAGTAAATTTTCCACAGCTTATCATTGTTTTTTTTTTTTTTTTTTTTTTTTTTTTTTTTTTTTTTTTTTACTCTAGCAATATTTCTGTTAGAATTATTTAAGTCGTCTTCATTTGAGAAATTAGATTTTCTAGAAGCTTCCATATTTGTGAGAATCTTTCTAGCTTTGAATTCCAATTACTGCTTTCCTGATTTTTAAAGCCTCATCTCATAATTTTCTCCCTACCCCCTACTTTCTTTACTCAATAGCTGCTGTTATAATTATATATTTCTCATTTTTAATTAATTATTTATTTTTCTTATGTCTGTTAAAATGATATATTTTAAGTCTACAATGTAAAATAATTTTGCTCCTCGAAAGAAAGAGACACTGATCATAATGCCAGAGATTAGCTATGCCATTGGCATCAGTCTAAGGTTGAATTTTGCTGTATTTAATTATAAAATACATTCTTTATTTAAAGTATTTAATCATCTAATTTGTTTTCTAATGCTTTTATTGCGCTTTTTTTTTTTTTTTTTTTTTTTTTTTTTTTGCAGTGCATATCTGTATAAAGTGTATATGATTGAAACATGCTAACAAATATACTAATAAATGTGAAATGAATTTTGTCTTATCTGTGATATTCTTTTCTCCTCTCTAACAACTTCTACTAACATGCATGTGTCCTGACTTTTAACTCAAGCTTGTGAATCCTGCAAAAATGAAAGAGCAACTTGTGAGTCAACTAAAAACTCAAATTTCTGATTTGGAAAGATTTATTGAGTTCCTTCAAGGTATCTGATTCTTACATTAATAACAACTTCTTTTGTTACTAATATGTTACTAATGTGTGTAATGACAAATTATTTAAATTCAGTGGGAGGAGAGATTCTCTTAATTGTTGTTAATATAATTGGATGATTCATTTGACTGCATATTTGATAAATACTGGAGTTTATAAAATACTTCATGATAAAAAATTCAACTATAATTTTTACTGTACAAGAAATCAAATTTAAGAGTTTCTTTGTTTCTTGTGGTTTAGTTGGGAAACATTTTTTAAGGAAAAGATAAGAATTAAAAATTTGGAAAATGATGTTTGTCTTTACAAACTTACTATTTTGTGATTACAGAGGCTCTTACCCTAACATTATGATAATTTGACTCAATCTCTATGTATATAAATTTAATTCCTGACTTGAGGATTTAAGCTACTTTGTGCTGGAGCTTTTTTTAAAGTCTTCGGTGATTTATTCAGGAATTCAGGCTCAAGATATTCTTGGAACCTTCCAGCTGTTATAGCTATTCTGGCATGGTTGCCACATTATAGGAACCAAGAATTTAAAAGCACCAAAGGCTTGTCAGTAAATTCTGTGACTGCCATCAAACGGTGTCAATGGCTAGAAGGCAAGCCTATAGATATATCCTGGTGATGAAGAATCATCATTCACAACCTTTCTTAGTTCAGGCACCACTGTAGAGATATTATTTCAAAGCAGGAGAAATGAAAAATTAGCAATGCACTCACCAGGACTTGAACCACAGACCTCTTGAATATGTGTCGAGCGTGCTGACCACTGCACTACGAAGGCATGCTAAGAAGGTGGGAGAAATACCTTATATCAGTTTGTTGGCCAATATATGTTGCTACTAGTGAAAACCATCTTATTCAACATTGCATATTCTGCAAGTATGGAATTGGTAGAAAATGCTAGGAAAATGATTGCTGCATCGTCAATCAAGTTTATACAGTTGCCAATCGAAAGTTGTCAAGACTCTGTATATGTTTTCGCCACTTATTTTTTCATAGTTAAGTGAGGAACACAGTTGCAGATCTTTAAATCAGCGTCGAATTTGTTGAAAACATGATGATGCATTTGCTTTTACTGAAAATTTCTTTGTTGCATATTTTAGACTGCCAAAATGTATTGTCATAATAATATGTGCTGAGCTGAGAGAGTATATGGAGCTATATTCAGAAAATAGTAACATACTGAAAGGTTGTTTATACTTTTTAGGAAATTAAATATAATATGCCTTTACAGTGTAAAAGATTATATTTTTTCAACTGTCCTTTAAGTATTTTTTCTACCACACATTTTTTTCATCAATTAAGAGTATCTGAGAAAAGCCTGACTAGCTTATGTACAACAAAGAAAATTTAATCTTAAAATATGGGAATCAAATGCCTTACAAGAAATACTGTGAAACCAATAAGTAATGTTTTTCAATACTAAGAAGTGAAATTCACACTACTGTAATAAATTAGATCTAAATTTCCTACTTTATGCATTTACTGATAATTTTTCAGCAGCTTAATGCGCAAAAATACTAGGCATATTTGGGAAAGTATCTAATAATTCTCATTTTTCATACTTTGCTGGTAACATGTATACGAGACATGCAGAAAGTAAGTTTTCCAATATTTTCCCCTTTAAAGTAAACGTAATTAGTGTCATTTGCACATGCGTAACAGATCTATGACGTATCAATCATCTGCCAGCCGAACAGGTCCTGCCTCGTGCTAGTAGCAGTGGTCCGAAATGGAAGCCCTCACATTCCTTCTCGCGCCACCTGTGAGGCTCAGTCGGTGATAAAGTTCTTGAAAGCACAAAGCAATGCACCAATTCAGATTCATCATCAGCTCTGTCAGGGTCTATGGGCCGAACATCATGAGTAAGCAGATGGTGCGTCGCTGGTGTAGGCAGCTTTCAAAAGGTCGTCAACGTGTCCGTGAGGAAGAACGTAGTGAGTGACCATTCCTCATCAATGATGATCTTGTGGAACTTGTGCAGCAGCGTGTGATGGAGAACTGTCATTTAGCGATTTCAGAGAGCAGCCATTTTCCGCAGATATCACGTTCCTTGATGCATGAGATTGTCACTAAGCATCTGCTGTTCAAAAAATTGTGTGCCGGGTGGGTGCCGAAAAACCTGACACCCGAACACAAAATTGAGCGCTTAAGAACAGCACTGAATTTCTGCAACAGTATCACAAAGACAGCGACGAGTTCCTCGACAGGATCGTCAAGGACGATGAGACTTGGATTTCGCACTGCACTCTGAAAACCAAGCAGCAGTCACTGCGTTGGCGGCATAGGGATCTCCGGTCAGGATGCAATTCAAATTGACGCTGTCGGTACGGAAAGTGATGTGCACGATGTTCTGGGACCAGAAGGGCATTCTGCTCATTCAGTTCCTTCCATGTGGTGAAACAGTAAATGCTGACCGTTACTGTGAAACATTGCAGAAATTGCGACGTACCATTCAAAACAAGAGGCATGGAATGCTTACTGCAGGTGTTGTGCTCCTCCATGACAATGCTCATCCACATACGGCTCGACGCACAGCAGCTGTTTTGACGGAATTTGGCTGGAAGTCATTTGATCATCCACCCTACAGCCCTAATCTTGCTCCCAGTGATTTTTTAACATTTTTTTTTTTTTTCCCCACCTCAAGAAATTCCTGCCGTCCTGTGAGTGTTTTGGCTACGACGAAGAGCTGAAGACGTCTATCACACGCTGGTTCCATTCACAGGGGGCAGAGTTCTACGACAGAAGGATACAAGAGTTGATCCCACAATATGACAAGTGTCTCAATTCTGGTGGTGGCTATGTTGAAAAATAGCTGAAACATTGCTGTACTTGATGGCAATAAATATGTTCTTGAAAGTTTGTGTTTTTTTTTTTTTTTTTTTTTTTTTTTTTTTTTTAAATAAGGAAACTTACTTTCTGGATGCCCTACGTATATTAAAAGGATTATAAAGCTAAAAAAAATTTTTTTGAAACTATTAGGACACTTTTATAAATTATTTTCATTTGTATTTTCATTATGATTTAAAACTAATTACTAATTGTTAATATATTGTATTTTGCATAAAATATTGATGTCACAAATTTAAATTTTTTATAGTTACTTATTTGTATATCAAAAGGGATGGTAAATTCAGGGACTGCCTCATGTGGCAAGAGTCACTGACCTGTCCACTGCAAAATAATAGGAGGAAAATATTCCTAGCATTTCAACTGTGGTGCATATCACTAGTCTGCGCTGTGATTGGTCTAAAGGCTGCTTGAAGTCGTCATATTTTTTTATTTGTAGTTTTTAATTTATATTTAAGAAAAAATAACAATTTAAAATAAATTATAACCAAATGGTACAAGAATGCAGAAACATGTGGGCACGCTGTGGAAAAAATAGATTGGTAGCTATATTTATTTATTAAAAAAAAGAGCAAGGCATACATTATTCTTTGTGGCTTTTTTATTGGTGATACTCATCTGATAATTTTTTGATTGAAGGTTCATATTTTGTACATTTCAAAGCCTACAAACATTACTAACATTATATGTTATCACATTTCATTTGTTTATCATAATTTTATTTAATACATAGATCAAAGTGTCACATAAATATGTTGATGAAAAAATTGTTAGCAAAGCAGTCGTTAAATTTTTTATGCAGCTAAAAGTGTTAGGTAATCTGTTAGTTAAAAGTGTTAGGCAATCATATTTTTTTGTTCATTATTGCAACATTTCATTCCAGATTTTTCCTTAATTTGACAAGAACATGAGTCTAAATGCTATCTTGAAAATCTGCAAATCATCAGTTTGCATCCAATCTTGAAAATCTGCAAATTGCATCTGTAAATCATCAGGTTGCATCCGTTCAAAATCCTTTTAATTCCAAGGTCCTGCAAACTACTACATTTGTATATTTAATTATTCTAATGATCTGTTCTATGCTTCTAAATTGGTTGAATCTTTCACTGATCTGTTCCAGCAAGGACTTTACTATAGTATATATGTATATACTCCATTTCAATAGTTGTGGTGACCCAGGGAAAATAGTTATAAATTTTAGTTCTTATAAGGTTAGAGATAAATATTTTTGATTATACAATTTTGTATATCCATCATCAGCTCTGAAAATGCCTGATGAGTGTGGCTTGTGACACGCATGTCATAGATTCCCCGACACTGATCTAGGGCATTGGGGACTTGGCTGTTTAGGGATTAAAACTAATGTAACAGTTTATTAGAATTTAATAATTAAGTAAACAGGCAGTTAGCATTTAATCAATATTAGAAAGAAGACATTTTCCTTTTCATTTTTGTGTTATTATATTTTTAAAAATTATTATCGTTTTGTATGTGTTTCAAAATGTCTTAAATTAAGGACAACAAATATGAAAGATTAAGTGCAACATTCTAACAAATTTCATTTCCGTCCATCGTCTCTTGATTTTTTTCTGAATCCATATGAAATTAACATAATTCAAAGTGAGTTTTCCATTTTCAATATAATTACGACACAAAATGCATCTGGAAAATTAGAATTAATAGAGATGCAAGAAGAATCAAGAAGTATAAATCGACGCCGATTACTGAATTTTGGAAATTTGTACCAGAATCGAAGTATCCTGAATTAAAAAAGGCTGCTTGTCGAATTATTTCAATATTCGGAACAACGGACTTATGTGAATCATTTTATTCCACTTTAAAATTTGTGAAATCCAAACACCGATCAGTATTAACTAACCAGCATCTCAAAGAATTACTGAGAAGTACTGTCACCAATTATTCACCAAATTTTAAAGAATTATCAAGAGAAATAAAATAAATGTGTTTAATTTTTAATATTTAAATTCAATACACATATTTTTACTTTTATTTATATGATTTTAATAAATATAATTTCTGTAAAAAAATTTTAATACCTTTTAAATACGTATTTAATTGTGGCTCGCGAAAAATTTAAAATTTTGAAAAATGGTTCGGACTATCAAGGAGCTTTGCCACCCCTGGTATATGCAATTCTTTACGCATTTAATTATTAGATGTTTGAGCTCCAGTAGATGAATGGCTGGATAACATATTTGTAGCATTGCTGCATTACCAATCTAGTTGCCACAGTACTCTCTGTATTAAGGTAAAAAGGTTAGTTTTAGAATTTGAGATTATTATATGATAGTTATGAAAAGAATGGATGAATCAAAAAATTTAATGTAATAATTTGTTTTGTTGTTATTATAATTAATAAATCAAGAAACTGATATTTATTACCCCCTTTTTTTATTGTTGATTTTTTTTTCAATCTGTCAACATCATTCAAATATCTATATTTATGTGTACATGCTCACTTTCTAAAGTTATAAATTAAAAAGCATGTATTTAAATATATTTTAGCAGTGCAAGTTTAAACAATAATATTTTACTTACATGTACTGTGTGCACAAAAGGCAGGAAATTTTGAATAAAAGTTCAATTTTGATGTATGAAGAGTACTCAAAAACTACTTTAAAACAGTTTATTTAGCAATACTGCCATGCTATTTTTTTGAACAGAATCATGAGCTCTGTCTAAATCAGGGCCCACCAGCGGCCGAGCAGTAAAGTTGCTGAACACTAGTAGTTTAGTCCAAGGCTAGAATCTTGCGAACGGGCTGACTGCATAGTTGTTTTCATGGTTTTCCCCATGCGTCACATGTATATGAGCCAGTTTCCCTTAGAAAGTCCTCCATGAAGGTATCCCTTCCCTAAGGCAGATAGCCCTCAAGGCTTTGCCGTAATCAAATAAACCAAACAAAACCTGTCAAAATAGTTGTTAGCAACATTTTTTGTGCCGTGCATCCCTTTCACCATTGCTAGAAGATCATCTCTTCCCCTTTCCAAAACTTAAAAATATATATATATGTACATTCATTGAGAGTTAGATTATTTTCTAATGTGTTTTATGAATTTAAAAACAAAAAGTACAAAAAATATTGGTAAATATCAAAAACTATTCCTTTAATTTCCTCGTAGGAGACTGCTACCTTTCTTATGGAGCCATCATATAACAACTCTTTGCTGCTATTCTTCTTTGGCAAATCTTCTTTCAACTAGATATTTTATCAATTTTTGAGCATGTGAAAGTTAAAAGGCACAATATCTAGACTAGTGGTTCTCAACCTTTTTTGCTTCATGCACTCCTTTCACTGTTTCTGGACTGGATGATCATTGCCCCACTCCTTTCCCAAACTCGAAAAATACACAGAAATCTATTTAAATTAATTTTTAATGTGTTTTAGAAATTAAACAAGAAAATGTTGATTGTACAGCAGATGCTGCCAAACCTCTCATCTTATCTTTAAAATGCTGTGCATACATTGTGTGGCATTGCATTGTCATGATGATTTGTAGATTTTCTCCAAAAACCTGTACTTATTTTTCAATATTTAGCAACAATCACCATTAATAGTTGTGCCTTTTTTCATAAACTCAGCTTAAATACTCGGATCATATTCGCAGAAGATAGTGGACATGATCTTTCCTGCTGGATGGTGCAACTTAGACATATCTCCATTATATTAATGATCATATTATTTTCGGGAATCCATGTTTCATGCCCCATAATAATGCAGCTTAAAAAAATATATTGTCTTCCACAAAGCAACACTGAAGAAAGAATAGAGAAGATGAAAACTTTGCTTCTTTATGCTGAGGTAGGGGTCAAAGAATGAGGAATTTGGGATATGTGACTTCGTGATTACCGCACATCCTTTCATCAACCTCAATATAATATCATTTGTGATAAACACTTACAGCTCTGTTTGTCAATCAACATCAATCAAGTTGGTGTGGCTGTGATCTCCTGTCGAGTTCTCAGTCAAAACTGTGATGGCGGATATCTCTTACGTGCTTTGTCTTAAGTAATCCAATCTATCTGACTGTGTTCAAACTGCTAGCAACATTTGCCTATGGGTATGCCTACACTGCATTTGTCTCATATACCAGCATAATTCCTTAAAGAATATTGGTTACATCTGAGATGTTTTGCATATAAACTATTACTTCCTTGTTAATTCAGCCTTGGAATTAGATGCCAGTTGTTGCTGCTACTATTACTGCAGTTACAGCAAAATTGTCTTTGTGGAAAGGCAGGGATTCTGCTAGGTGCTGGTAATAGTTGTAGCATACTTTTTGAATCCTCTAAAGGTTTACAGAATCATTTATAAAAATGTTCTTTGATACTCTCCTGAAAAATAAGCATTTCTTTTTTAGTATTACTCTGAGTAAAAATTTTGATGTAAGGTGAATTTGTGTATATTGATTTGAAAATTTTTTGATAAATGATAATAAATGAATTTTATTTCTATACCTATTAAATCTCTGCTTAAAATCTCAAATATTTTAGGGGAAGTTGTATCTAATGGTCAGCCACGGTGCACTTGCAACTGCCCAGTTCATGGAAAAGTGAGTTCTACCCCTTTTTATTTCTTCCTGATAAGCCAAATCTCCATTATTAAAAGCTTTGTATGATATTGTATTTTGAAGTTGTATTCTAACTTTAAAACATGAAAGTGCGCCTAAAATAATTTTCATTTGGGAATAAAAAATTTTATGTATTAATTATTAAATTGGAAATTTTACATTTTGATCATTTTTTGACATTATTAATGCAAAATAATATTATTGATTTAGAAATGAAAGTAGAACTTCATACCATATGTATGATTTAGAAGCTTGTAATTTGCTTGACATTCATGAGGTTGAATCATGGTTAATATCATTCTTCAAAAATATAGAAATTTAAAAGGAAAATAAATGTTTTCTTTTTAAAAAGTACCTGTTTTGATTACTTTGGGTATTTTCCTTGAGATCTAGAAAAAAAGTATTAAAAGTTGAATGCTTTTCAAGGAACCTGAAGAACGTATGAAATTTTGTCATACTGCATCCAAAAAGTCATTTTAAGGAAGTAATTTGCTTTTGGGGATAGGTAGGGAAGAACAGATTCATGATACTTATTTCTTATTAATAAATTCAGCCTATATTAAGAGGAGGAAGGTTAAAAAATGTGTGCTGATAAACCTCAGGTGGGCTTCTTCTAGAGCAGTGGGAAGAAATAAACTATAATACACCAATGGAGTTGCTAAATGGGATAAATTTATACTGTGTTGGTGAAATAGATTGTTTTACAATAAATAATTCAAATTTCTCTTCCTTTTAAAATAAAGATGTTAATTTTTCATTTTTGTTACTGTTATGAACTAAAATTCAGCTTCAAATTCCATCCAAACTTACAGGTATAAAAGTAAATATCAAAACAAATAAAAAAATATAAATATCTATATATATAGTTGTATTGCCAAAAAAGACTGTTGCGTACATACAAATAGGCTAAATATGCATAAAATAAAAGAATTTAAATTGATTAATTGTGGAGTTGTGTTATACAGGAATAAAATACACATATAATGTTAATATGAAATAACTAAATGCTTCTTTTCATTTTTTTTTTTTTTTTTTTTTTTTTTTTCCCCCATGGAAGAAATTTACCAACTCGGCTGAGAAACACCATTCCCCAAATCTTCCTTTATCCTGATGGTATTATTGCTTTTAATCTGCATTTAATTCTTGAGAACTTGTTCTTCTTGTGTTTCTCAGTCAGAGTTTTGCAAATGAACGTTCTAATAATGCATCAGTACTTATCAAGTATTCACAATTGTATTATAACACTTAAATTTAAAACATTTAAGAGTTAAAATTAGATCTGGAAAAGTGAAAATATTTTATAAATATTCTTTGGTCTCCAGATTCTGAAAAGAAATATTTAAACTACTGAATCCGAGAAAGCATATGCAATTTCATTGGTCAGCTTCTGTAGAATAGCTATTTCATTTTAAAACAGACTATAAAAGCAAAAATAATATAATTACAAATTAAGGAAAAATAAAAATGCCTTCTGAAATCTGTGCAAGCTTTTAAAAAAAATTACCATTTGGTTTGAAGTATTTGCATTATAACTATTAAATGCTATTAATATCATTTTTCAAAATGTAGGTATTTTTAAGTTATGTGTAGAAGTTGTATAAAAAATATTAATTATATAATTAATGAAAATTCTGTTTCTCTGAAATCTGCAAATTTATAGAATTTATTTATATAATTATAAATATTTTATACTGGATTATTCATAATTCCCACTTGGGTTTCAAAATACTATTAACTGTACTATTTTTACTACTAAGTGGGTTAAGAAACTGAGACAAATGCAGCAAAAAGGAACCTTGCACTAAATACAGTTGTGTTGTTTTTAGTGCAAGGTCTTTTTTTTGCTGTAAAAAACTGAGACAAGTACAGCAAAAAAGAACCTTGCACTAAATAAATGTTTTTTATAACAGCAGTTGGCAACAGATGGCAGCACACATCTGAGTGAAAGCAATAAATGAATCAAAATGGTGTTCACAAACAAAGTTTTTTGTGTGTGTTAAAATTGCTAAATTGGATTCTGTGGTGTTGGTACAGCTGGTATTGTATTAAAAATTTTGAAATATCAAAAACAGGGACCCACTGACAAGACAATTCATGTGCTGTACAGCAAGTTCAAAGAAACTACATGCTTGTGTGATAAGCAACAAAGTGCCAGCCGAGTCCATCTACAGAAACCATAAGTGATGTATGGGGAACATTTTTGAGGAGCCTGGCAAATCAACTCTTTGTGTAACCCATGAATAGTGAATTTCGCAACCAACAGTGTGACAAGTGGAATGCAAAACTCTACATATGAAGCCATACTATAATCGTGCAATCGTGGCCATACTGATTGTAAAACTGCATTCGTGGGTTTGCTTATCTCATATGAACCTTTGCATCAATGTCCAAGCCAATGACCATTTTCTGCATCTGCAGAAAATGACTTTTAGTGACAAAACCACCTGTCGCTTGTTTGGGAAGGTAAAGCATCACAACTTGCAAATTTCGTGCACCAGAAATCCTCAAGCAGTAGTGGAACAGTGGCCTGATTCCCCGAATGATCTGTACTGTCTCTTCCTCGTATGAGTACAAGCCTTCTTTTTAGTCCAAAGGGGCTTTGTCTCTGAAGGACTATTGTTTTCATTTTGTGATTTTGCGTTCACTTTTCAAATGGTTGCCACCAAATGTTGGAGTCCTGCATTATATTTGAAGAAATTAAATAATGAAAAATCTGCATAAATGTATGTATATTTCTCACATTGTGATAAAATAAAAGTACATAAAGCCATCGAATTTTGAATGACGTAATCCTTCTACAAATATGGGCATGTGGAAGACCGAATTTGAAATTTTGAATCTGTTTTATTATTGATTTCATATTTTGTAAAACTTTAACGAATTTTTGAGTAACAAACTCAATGATTTAAAAATGAGCAGTGGCAATACTGTATGGGGGGAGAAACCTTACTGTGTATCAGAACTGCGGAACTGTGTATCAGAAATTCTAAAGATATGCTCATTTTAAAATTATTTTGCGGAATTGCTATTGAACTGAATTTTATGGTTTAAGTGCAAAGAACATGATATTTAATAAATGAAGGTAACACACAAAACGTAATTTGTCCAGAAGGACTATTAATTTCATTTTGGCATTTTGCGTTGCTTCACTACAATCAGTGTTTCACTTTTCAAATTTTTGCCACCAAATATTATCGCCCTGTATTGTATTTAACCCTGTGAGTGGCACAGGATTTTAGATCTGTCATGAAGACCAGTATTTAAACAGCATTTATTAATTTAGTTTGTATAATTACTTATTTTAATCTGCGTTTTCATAAACTTACATTCATTAAAATGATATTTACATTATTAAAGTAAGTAAGAAAGCAAAATATCTTAAATTATAAGCTAATATATACCAAGCAGCAAACTTCTGATGACCGGTTTTTTCTGGTCATAACGCTCAGAGAGTTAAAGAAATTAAATAATGAAGAAGCTGCATAAATGCATGTGTCTTTCTCGCATTGTGATGAAACAACAGTACCTAGAGATATCAAATTTTGAAAAACGTAATCCTCCTGTGAATATGGGCCTCTGGAAGCAGGTAACACACAAAATGTTAAAAAAAAAAGTCCCTTTGGACATAATTTATAATCCGAAACCCTTCTCCTCCAGGAAGCAGATTGTTACCGTTGTAGCATATATGAATATACTGCAATTACATGAAAATGAAGATGATGACTTTGTTTTTCAACAAAATTAAATTGCACCCTATTTTCTGTGGCATGTGTATACCTTAACACACAATTACCTTGTCATTGGATTGAGTGAGCTTCCAAAGATAGCGTACTCCTTTGGCCATGGCCACCATGCTCGCCAGAATTAACACCATGTGTTTCTTATGGAGCTAAAAGACCTTATTTTCTTACTCCCTTTGCCATGTGATTTGCAGAACTGGATGAAAGGAACACACATGCTGTCAGTATCGTTGAGAGAACCATGCTTAATAGAGTCTAACAGGAACTGAACTGTCACACTGATGTATGCTGTGTAACCTAGAGTTCACACATAGAACACTTTTGAATAAAACTTAAATTGTTTCTGTATTTAGTGTAATGCTCTTTTTTACTGTAGCCTTCTGAAATCTTGAAGCAAATTATGAATAAACCTATATAACTTGAGAGATTTCTATTTTATTTTAATAATGTTTAATTATTTATTTTAAGAATACCTATGGCTATTCGGATTCTGATACACAAAGTGATAGTTATTATCCTGGTTCTGTGAAAAATCCAGTGAGTATATTGTTTCAATAATTGCTAATTACATTTTTGTATCGGTATTTATTTTGTGTGTGCTCATGCATGTGCTGACTCACATCTGCAAATTTGAAAAGGATCTCTGCTTTTCTGTACTTTTGCATTTCTACATACTTTTCACTTCCTTGTACGAAGTAAAGGAAGTACTGTAATCACGAAAAATTCTGGGTACCTTATTTCAACGAAAATATCCATTTCGACTACTATCGAATGCAATTTAATGTTTTGCATGACATCTGTACATAAAAGCAGAATAAAGGACTTTTCCCCCAGATGAATTATAAAACTGATTTAAAATCGATTTACAAGAAATTTTTTCATGGCGTGTGTGTGTATGTATGTATGTGCGTCAGTACATATGTATGTATATATCTCGCATAACTCAAAAACAACTTGCCTTAGGACATTGAAATTGGATATAGGATATATAGGACTTCTATAGCATGTAGCTGTACATTATGCCTTTAGTTAACCTGAATGCAATAGTTTTAAAAGTTGTTACAGGCTAATTTTTTTTATGACTCAGCATAGCATTCACTACAAATTAAGTCAGTTTCTACACCTTCAGTTTCTTTTTGCCAAATGGAACCAAAAGTAAACATTTTGTGCATCAAAAAATCTGCCTTCTTGCCTGCTGGCCAAGTTGCTTGTTTTTGCATAGAAATTCTAATTTTAATTGTAAAAATTGTTCATTAACACTAGCATTGTGGCATTTTCCATATACCATAATTTCTGGAAGAAAGGCTGTATCAGCGTAAACGGCGCACTCGAGAAAAATGGTGGGAAAAAAATTAAAATTACGCAGAAACGCTGCATCAGCGTAAACGCCGCAATAGATTAAATTGCGCATGACATCGTCGTGGGCCGTATAGATGCAAAAACTCAACCTAAGTCCTGATATATGACATACCAGTTAAGAAAAATGCATGAAATGGAACCATAACTCAAAAATAAATTAAAGGTAAGAAATGTATAGCTTCTGTGCCGTTTAGAGACATTTTCAAAAATTTTCCGCTCTCTAATTAAAAACTATTCAACAAGTACTTGTACTCTAACTGAGGGATCTGTATTTGGCAGAATGCCAAGAAAAAAATCCATTCATGCTGAAGGGGAAATACGTCAGAGTTCGTTATTGCGAGGCAGGTGGAGTCGTGTCCGCCTTTGAAAAAAATTGCAGAAAAGGCAGGGGTGGAAAGAGGATGGGTCCTGGAAGATTCATCGAATGGCAGAGGAGAGAGACTATTCAAACTGATGAGAATGTTGATTGGAAAGGGGAAAGAATGTTATTGTTCTGTGATCTCGTTTAGGGTGAATAAGGCATATAGGTCCGTTCAAGGGAAAGAACATAAACAAAATAACGTTCGCAAAAAGCAACTGAATGGTCTTTTGTGTGGGAACAGCACCAATCTATGCACAATGACAAGGCCATCCAAACTATGTACAAGACCATCATAGGAAATATTTTATTTTTAGTGCACCTAAACGCCGCACCCGCTGAAAATTTAAGTTTTAAACACGTAAACGCCGTGGCGTTTCTTCTGGAAATTACGGTACCTATAACTATGATCAGCGGTCATTTTGTTCCAAATAGAAGAAAGGACTCACTTTTTGCTAATATTATGCAAAATTAATGTTTATAATCGTACATTTTGCTTGTTTAATAAATAAATAAATTGAGTAAATACATGCAACCGAAAGATAAAAGAGCAAAATAAAGCTAAGTGAGGAAATATATTAATAGAAGGATAATTTAATGTAACAGAGTTAAAAGAGAAAAAAAAAATCACTATAAATATTTTTATTTAAACTTATCATTTAAAAAATTGCCTCATAAAAAATTTTCAATATGAAATAAATATATTAAAAATTACACATATTAGTACTTACATTACTCAGTTTTGTAGTGCATACAAATTATTAATTTTTTTAATTTTACCTATTCAAGTTCCACAAACATATTCACATGTATTTAAAGTTTTGTTGCTTCTGCATGTATTTATTTGGCTGTGTTTGTGCTTGCAGGAAGGGTTGACGCAAGTACCAATTCTCTTTTCGTTAGATACAGAAAGTTGTTGAATTTTGGATGAAATGTACATCTTTTGAAGCTCCTCAGCCGTATTCAAAATAAAATCATGAACAGCTGATATTCTTATATTCAATTGTTTCCTTGTGAATTATCCATGCATTTATTACGGCCAACTCAAGAATGTTATTTTTTTTTTTTTAACTGGCCAAAAGACGACTGGATGAGGACTTCACTGAGTATTGTCTGGTCCAAAACATCAACTCCATATTTGGTCGAATAGTAAAAACTCACAACTTCCTTTGTATTTTTTTTGTCAGATTTGATATCCAGTGTTAGGTGCATGGTATTCAGGAGTGGGATGTTCTTGTTTTTTCTCTTGTAATATGATGTAAGCGTTATGTTGTCATGCTTAGCTATCTTATTAGAACAGACTTCATCCCTCGTATTTTTGAAAGATTAAGGCACTTTTCAAATGATTTATTGTGCCAATGCAGCTTGTCCCTGAATTCCTCATTCCTTTTACTAATTTCAGCGATTCCATCAAGCTGCATGTTCACCTACTGTTTCTCGTCTTGTTTTGTCTTTTCCCAAATAGGGAAGTTTATTCAGTAAATATTTTGACTGCACATCAGTAGGAAGCCAAAATTTAATGCCGAATTTGTCCGGCTTTTTAGGCATGTGCTTTGAAAAAATTGGCATCGTGTCTGTCTTCATGGGAAATTTTGAAATACTGAAAAATAAACTTTCTAACACAAGCGAAATGCACAGACGCATGGTGCCCAAAAATTCCAAACATATGATTTTATCCCCCCCCAATCACTTCTGTAAAATATGCAATCTTCCTTACCAAAAATACATTTGTTTATCTATCAGCAAACTGGAAATAGCTAAAAAAAAAAGTCATAAATATTGAGATTAATTCAGAAATTATATATATTAATTTTCTAAATAATTCAGAAAATTAATATATATATAATTTTCTGAATATGGTTAATATGACCGATGGCTGTAATTCCAGTTATAAACAGTAATATTGTCGAAAATAATTACTTAAAATGAACAAAAACACATCTTGCAACATTCATAAGTTTTTAGAAAAAGTCAAAAAAATATCAAAGTTATAAATAAAGAATTAAAAAGTTATGTCCAATTAAAATGGGTCAAAATGACTGGGCCCATAATTCTGATTTTAATAACTGTATTTGTGTTTTATATTTTTAAATTTTTAATGAAGATATTTTGAGGTTTCATATATTTTTGCCTTGTCACGAAGTGAGAACTGAATTAGTTGAATGATAAATATATCTCTAATGAAATTCAAGGAAATAAGTAAAATGCATGTAATTTAATATTCCGTACAAGGAAGTCATGTGGTGTACACATCAGATTTTTCTCTATTTGTGAAAGGGTCTTTAAAGCAAGTAAATATCTATTAGCAGTCCTTTATCTCCTACAGGTCTGATGAGAAGGTTGCTATTAAAGAAATTTAAATGTACATTGTGCTAAATAAATTTTCATCTTAAAAATTAATGTTAAGAAAAGAACAAGGAAATATAAAAATAGAAGGGGTAAATGCTTAGTTGAAGTACCTATCCCTGAAGAACAGGCTCAACAGTTTCCACGCATAAATATTTTTTTTAATCTATAGAAAAAAAGTAAGGAAATTGACAATATATTTTTTGGAGGGGGGTATAAAAAATTTTTAGTTTTAACATATATTGACTAAAATAGATATATGATATGTGATTAATATTGTTACTATATTTTATATTTTTAATATTTCGATAGTTAATCCTACTTAAAAATCAGCCCATATATTTATTTCATCAATTTTATACTAAGTTTATTAAATTTAATTAATTAATGATTTTTTTTTTTTTTTTTTTTTTTTTTTTTTGAAAGATAATGGTAGTGTCTTCCGTATTATGCAAAGAGTTTTGACTTTGTTACAAGTTTTTACAATAGCTCAATTTGGGTGTGGAAGGCACAACTTTCAGAGGAACACATTAAAAAAGTCAAATAAAGTGAACCACTGGGGGTAGGTAGCTTTTTAATCTCTGATAAAGTATTTTGCTTTTCATCTGATCTCCTTTCTTATATTTTATATAATTGCATGTATGTGCAGATATAGAAATTCATGATCTAGAAGTTAAATGTAAATTTATGCAGTATGAAATCACCACAATATTAAATATCAAAATCTGTCCTTATTATTTAGTTTGTTTGTGAATTATTTAAATTGCTTTTGTTGCTACATATTTTTTTATAATGTAATTATTGTCATTTTTATAAAGTTTTTATTAGAAAATAAAATTTTTAAACAGTTGCAATAACTACATGTTTGATATTGAATGGGAATATAGTGAACGCGAAGTCACTTACTCGAGGTTTCAGTAATTTTTAACCTCTCTGTGAGTGGTCTTCTTTGACACCCGATGTTTAGTGTGAAAAAAAATCATGAGTATAGTTTATAATATTTTATTAATTTGATTATTTTGGTGAAATTTCTGGACTGTTTAGTTTTATACTGTTTAAATCATTTTAGTAAATTGCCTGATTATACTGTTTTGCAGCAAAATCCCCTCCTTATAATAATAATATATTTTGTATGATTTAATCTCCTTTAAAACTGGCTTTAAGAAGGCTTATCGTCCATTGTTTTTGGAAAAGAATTTTTTTAAGGCAAAGTATTGTTTTATAAGCTGACAAGGTATCATTACCACAGTTAATTTTTTTAACCATAGATCAGTTATACAAGAACCGTAAAATATCGCATGTTTATCAAATTTTTAAAAAAAATATTATAATACTCAACCTGAATAAATTTCCTTCTATTTCTGTAAATAAATATTCAAGTATTGGTAAAAAGCTACCCTGTGTGGAAGCCATAAGTGAAATCTTTGCTCATGTAAATGCTGTGGCATTTCTCATAAAACTACAAGTAGGCCTAATTGAGTAAGTGTTTTTTTATTTGAATGAAAGACTAGGCAGTTATTATATTATAAAATAATGGTCTGAAATTTATGAAAATTTCATACTGATGACAAAATTGTGGAATGTGAGGCTTTATAAAAGATTATATAAAATTTCTTTGTATCATTTTTATTTAAAATTCATGTCACTAAAGTATTACTTAAGCTATGGATAAAGAGGAAAATGAGTTTTCTTAGTTAAATGATGAATTTCAGGTGGAATATTTGTCATCATAAATTACTTTTGAAATCTTAACTAGAGGTAGCTTAAATGAAAAAAGTGAAACAGATTAACGTGTTCAAAAAGGTAAAACTTTTGGCAAAAGAAAGAAATGGAAAATTGTGATGATTGCACAGGAAAATTAGTTTGGACATATTTCTGAAAGGTTTCAGAGTCATTTTAATTCACTAAGAAAAATTCGTCAATTCGTGTATTGCTCATGTGAAAACTAGTTAACAAAATATCATGGTTGATTTTTGTTAGGCTGTTGTGTGAGAGCCTCAATTTGTGGCTTTAAAAAAAGGTGGGGCAATAAAGGTCTTGTGCTTTGTAATTTGACTTTTTAAATACAGATAGTTATTATTCGTTAAATTTTACATGTGATGTGTTTCATACTGCAGGGATGGTTCGGGGTCTGGGTGTAGCGAGATTGTGTGTACGCATAATCATTGTTATGTACAAGTCATATTTCACATTTCATTGTATGGACAGGTAATCTTGCTTGAAGGTTTAATGTTCATGATTAATTTTTAATGGTGCAGAAACTGTAAAAACTTTTTTTAATTCTGGAATCCATTAAAAAAAAGGAGTTTAAATGTATTGTAAAAGAGGCACATATAGAATGGGCTGAATATATTTAAAAAAGGGGGGCTCTTCTATAAAAACTCTGTCTTCATCAAGTTTAATGACGTCAGTTCTGTCCTGTGTTGTAATTACTTTCATTGGTTTGATTGGTATAATAACTGCTTTCATTTGTTTGACAAAATTAGCAGATAATTTGCCAAAAGGAGATGAAAAGATATCTTAGGAAATGAAAACATTTTTTTATACTGAGCAGTCAGAAACAATCAAATAGATAATCACTTTTCTTATACAAAAAGACACAAATGAAGTACAAAGACCCCCTGATATTGTAAACTTTTGGACTAAAACTTTTGTATCAAGGCTGAAAAGTAAACCAGAACTATCCAGTATTGATAAACTTAATTAAATTTCTGTAAACTTCCTTCCTTGGACTCACTATTAAAAGCATTTTAATGGGCGATATTAAGGAAGACCAAGGATGGTTAAATAGTGGCCCGGAGGCCACTTGCTATGAGTTTATTTATGGCTCACTGACAGTCAGAAAAATTACCTTGAACAGAGATTTCCTTCCTGTGCACAAATAAAAATTCATCTTGTATTATCCACGGACAGCCACATCAATACACATGCGTAGTGTAGATAATATGTGCAGTGTTCTTCCGATTGATCTGGTTAATTTCATCTTGCAACTGTTAATATGTAAATTTCCAACTTTAGTAAAACCATGAGTCCTCCAAAAGTACCTAAAATCAGTGATGAATGCTGTGTGTTTAATGAAGAATTGATAAACAAATATTTCTTTGGTAATATGGGGAATAAGCAGTGTGTTTATTGTGTCATGAAATTATGGTGTATTTAAGGAAATGACAGCACAAAACAAAACATATTGAATTTTCTTCAAATTTTCCAAGGAAGAAAGTAACACAAAAGCTGCAGAGTGTGTGAAAAGGCTGAAGAGACAACAAACATTATTTACAAAGCAATCAGGACTTCAAAATAGCATCACATAAGCAAGTTTCATGGTATCCTACATACAACCTTGCTAAATCCGTCAAGCCTTTTTTAAATGGCAAATTAATTATGCAGTGTATGGTAGAGTGTGCAAGTGTATTTTTTCGTATTGTAAAAAGCAAATTTGAAAGCATTTCATTGTCAAGAAGGACTACAGTGCAGCGCACTGAGTGACGAATTCGCAAAACAGCGGAAGAGTGCGAGCAAAGATTTTGTTTGGTTTTCTTTAGTACTGGTTGAGAGAACAGATACTGAAGACACTACACAATTACTCATCTTGGTTTGTGGAGTTAATAAAAATTTCATTATCACAGAGTAATGAATTGGCCTAGAAATGAAAAATAGGAACCACTAGTCAGGATTTGCTTGAGTGTGCTGTGAATTGTGGGAAGACAAGTGGATTATCCTGGAACAAAATGGCAAGCGTTACAATAGATGAGGCCAGAGCTTCCAGTCGAAAAAATGTAGGTATGGTTAAGCTTAAAAAAAAAAATCTTGGGCACATCACATGGCTTCCTTCCTTATTAAACTAATTCTAAAATTAAATGTTTAAATGTACTTGCAGCTACAGATATGAAATTAGTACAATAAATAAATTAAACTGCCACTATTTGAGTTAATTTATATTCATTGATTTTTATGGTAGAATTTATACCTTTTCTGAAATGCCAAGTTAACTAATAAATGCAATTATTTTAAAAGATGTGGCCATCCACTAAACTGCACCTACACATAGTGGCCCCTGAGCCAAAACAATTGCCTAGCTTGGGCTAGACTGTAGAGCAAGCATCCTTGAGCAGTACCAGACTGGATGTTGTGAAGACTGAAGTATTATTATTCTTATTAAACGAAATGTGTGGGAAATTTTTGGATTAAAAAAATCTGTTCAAAGTCCTGTTGTTAAAAATTTTAGAAATAATTTATTGAATAGGTGGCAGCTTACTAAAATTCTCTACATTCCATAAATCATTCTCTTCTCATTAGCAGTTTCTCATCTGTTAACTTCCACACCTGTTAATAATGCACACTTTAGGCTCTAATCTAAATACTTGGTGGGTTGAGGAAAAAGCAATGTCTACATCATATGATTTGCTTATCGTTGTGAACTATTGTACTGGAAAGAAAAATGTTAATGTAGTCGTTCAGAGAATTTAAGAAATTCTGGAAAACCAATAAAGTAACTTTGTGAAAGGATGTAGTAAAACATAAATTTGCATTTGATAGATTAAAGAGCATTATAATTTCTACTCCACTAATGAAATTGTTTGAAAAATTGTGTGTATGCATGCATGTATGTATATCACATTAATAGTCTGAATTGTTTAAAATTATGTCACATTTTTACTCTAAGGTATTTTTCAGGATTTTTGAAATGGGGTCACATTCACCCCTTTTACAGTCAAAAGTGAATAGACTAATTTTTAAGTAGTGAATTTTTTCATCATTCTCCTAAAGTTATTGTTGAATTATGTATATAAATGTCATATATAGTACAGATAAAAAGCTTTAAGAAACACATATAAAAAAGAAAATTGCTGGAGGGGGAAATACTCTTAAATGTAAAATTGTATTATCTTAAGTGATTTGAAATTTCTTAGAAATTTGTAATATTTTGTTGTCAAAACTATGCGTTATGAGATCTCTGTATGATATTTTAAAATTTAGATATCAAGACCACACTTTTTTATGGAGAAATACTATTTTAGATTCATGATGCTTTGAGTTAGTGTTTTAAGAAATGTCATTATATTATTACAGACTCTTTCAGCATTGAGTATTATTTGGTTTTAGAAAATTATTTTCCCTAACTGATAGATAAATAATATGTATAGTAAACTTATATGGATTATTTTTTAATGGAAACAGTTTTCTAGTCTTTATTGCATTTTTTAAGAAAATATGTATTAATTATCAATATTACTTGTTTTACAGTGATTTAAGAGCTCGATTAGAAGTAGCTGTGAATGAAGTAGAAAAATGTGTTTCTGAGCAAGAACCACCTTGTGAGGATAGTGATTATACAAGTGATTCTGAGGATGTGAGTATATTTTAAATGTTCTCGTATTTTTATTCTTTTGTGTGTTTGTTTAAGTGAGAGTTCTCATTAATAGCTGTAAGTCAATCAGTCTTTGTTAATATTCTTCCCTCTTTATCCCTGTTGTAACTTCAAAATGTATGTTTTAATTTGGATCTTTTTGCTATTGTTATTTTCATTTACTGAAATAGTAGTATCCATTTATACATGCTATAACCAAATAATATTAGTTAACTATATATCTAAGAAACTGATACTTGAAATTTCTAAATGTACATGAACATAGTAAGTTTGAGTTTTTCCAATGGACTTGAAGTATATGTTCATTATTTGCTTCTGTATACACAGTATATAAAAGCACAACACTGTTGCTGTTCTATTAAAAACTAATGTCAATTAATTCTGAGAAAACAAAAAACAAATTGTCCATACTTGAAAAAGATTTACACATCACTGAATTTTGATGAATTTTAGAAATTATAATGTGCTTTTAAGTCAATTATTTTATTTGATTCTCGTGAAGTAAGACATAAAAATTTACATAGATCTCCCTTCTGATGCTAACAAATAAATAAACTGGTAATTATTCTATGCAACCAGTAATTTTGTTCCTGAAGTATGAAGTTTATAGACATTATAGTGAATAAAATGAATTTGTTTGTTTGTTTCATTATAGTGAATTGTTGAAGACTGCCTGAGTTTACCATTATTTCGCATCATTCTTTTATAGTAGGATGGCTTAACTATTTGCATGATCCAAATGCGAAATATTTAGAAATACAAAACACGTTTTCAATGTCAGTATACAACCAAGTGAAAAGGTGCAGCAATTTGTAATGAAGAGTTATAAATTTTATATTTATTAAATCTTTTAAGCTCCATTTTTTACTTCCTTATACAAAGTGAAGAAAGTAATATAATTATGAAAAATTTTTGTTATCAGCCAAAAAAAAAAAATCATTTTGGCTATTTCGGGATGTTTGGTAGTTATAGACAGAATAAAAAAAAAAGTATCCCAAAATGGATTGTAAAATGTCCTTTTTTTCCACAACTGAAAAACAGTTAGCTGCAGAACTTTGAAATTTTGTAGATAGGACTGCTATAAAATTTGATTATGCACCTCTCTTTTTTTATTGCAATCAGTAGCACCAAAAGTACATGTATTTACACACATACTCTACCCGGCCTTTATTTTCGCAGTCATAGTCATATACTTCCACTTACAAAAGTGTTTTAAATGATGAAAAATATTCATGTTTTGGCAATATCAAATTTTTAAAAGCATTAATTTTGGCTGACAATGAAATCTAACTTTTGATGTGATTTCCTGGTTCCTGTACTTGTATTTGGGGAAAGTTTCATACTCGCTATGAAAAAATAAAATTATAAGAAATTTGACTCTTGCACAATAAAAATTGACCAGAATATTTTATTTCAAAATTTGCAGTTTTTTATGTCATTTTCAACTTGCTCTGAGGAATAGGTTAAACACTCAACTGCCACAAAAAACGTACAAGATTCACTCTCCAGTGCCACCGTTTTTTACACATGCGCTTAGTTATGCAATATATTGGGGGGGAAATAAGTGCAGGTTTTGCTTTCTAAAAACTGTTTACTTTCACAAAATAAAGAATAAAAGAAAAAATTAAAATGCAAAATTTAATGTTTAGAGTAAAAATATAATGAAAATTATTATGTTCGTATAATAAAAAGATAATAAAAATATTCCAAAAAAAATGGAATTTAAATCATTTTTAGACCAGTAAAGTGTAATATCAGGTTTCAGTGTTATACCTTGTAAAATCAATATACCTGAATGGAAAGTGTGGAGGCAGCATAGGCAAGTTTTTCATGTACCCAACGTCGAGTATCTTTCGAAGAATAGTTGCAATCTCTTCATCTGATGTAATATCATATTCTGAGGTGTTCAATCCTGAAGATGACGGACTGCAATCATCTATTTCACTGTCATACATATTCATAAAAAAAAGCACCTACTACAAACAGTAAACAAAAAGACACGGTATAAAAATTTATATTTTACTCAAACTGGAGCAATAACTGTGCAGTCATTAGTCATCATTTTTAGACATATTCCTGAAAAAAAAAGCACATTACAAACAGCAGTAATGAAGTAAACGAAAACAGAAGACGCAGAATTAAAAAAAAATATGTCTTACTCAAAAAGAAACACGACCAATAACCGCACAGTCATTACTTTTACCGTTTCAGAAACATTCCGCCTCGTATCCCCCCCCCTTTTCCCTGAAATAGTATCCTAATTTGCATGCTATGTCAAGGTCATTGTGGTGTTGCATTCCAAAGTTTTGCGAATAATTTCACTGGTAGCAATGCAAAGCAAATAAATGATAGCATTTCGGAAGGGCGTATATATACGCCCAGAGCAGTTAATGCATTGTCTGATCAAGGCATATATACCCCTGCAGTTTGGTGTTAATTAAGTTAGGATAATTCAAAGAAACAAGTGTAAATGAAATGCAATAAGAAATATGTATAATTTAATAGACTGTGTGAGGAAGTCAACACACTTCTTTTTTTTTTTTTTTTTTTTTTTTAAGCAATGCATATAATTTTATTTATCTTCTAAAGAGAGTCTTCATATCAGCATGTTCTGCTCTATTAGAAATTTTGGGAGTGATATCATTACTTTGAAATTTTTATTTCAGACACCTGTTGTGCAGTGCAATGAAAAATTAACCACTGCTGTAAGAAAGGATTTAGCATGTGCTATAAGAGATTTGATGCAACATGGTCTCATGCCAGTAAGTATTTCTTATAAACATAGTAATTACTAACAACCCTAATTTGCTGTAGGCATAATGAAAGCAGTAATATATTTTTTGCATTTTAAAAAATTATACAGAACATTACATTACATTGCTTTTTTTATCTTTAATGAGCAGAATTTGGTAATTTTTCATAACTGTTTTCATGTGTTTGTTCTAAAACTAAATAATATTGTTATAAAAGAGTGACACTCACTAAAAACATAGAAAATTATGTGTCTAAAGGTAATGAATTTTGTTGCATGAGAAACAAGCTGTAAATAGATAGTCATAATATGAAACCTTTGACAGGTATAATATACAGTGATCTTTGTTTAATATGATCGTATTAGTGGTTTCTAGAAGTGATAACAATAAATAAATTATGACGATAATTTCTAAAATTGAAAGTAATAAATAGATTACAGCAGTAGTTTCTAAAATTGAAAGTAATAAATAAATTACGGAAATTTACAGATAAAAATTTACTTACCAATGATGATATTTTTATTCAATATACCTATGTTCCATTTTACAAAAGTTTGCTTTACAACAGTTTATTTTTATGGAACACTTACTATAGTACCTTTTTCGACTTGTGAAAAACTCCGGAGATTATTTTTACAAACTAAAGCAAAAAATTAAAATATTTCCACTTTTTTTTTTTAACTTAAAAAGGCAGGCTATTTAAATAGTTTTACAACGTGATTTTGCAGCATTATTTCACTTTTATTCAACTCTTTTGCCATTCAGAAAAGCAAAAGATATTATTCTTTCATGTTTAATCCATCTATTATTTATTAACAAACTAAATTATTTTAAAGCAGTAAATGCATTTCTTAATTTTTTTTTTTCCTGTGTGATTCTGATTGATTTAAATAAAAATGCATTTAATTCATAATATATCTAATTAAAAACATTAAATATTTTTATAGAATTAGAATTCCCCTGGTATTTTATACCTGGATTTGTGTACTTTTAATATATTGCCTTAATTTCTCTTGACATATTTTAATATGCACGTATATGTACGTTCTTACAGATGTCACAAAAATATTCTAGCCAGTTAAAGGTTTAATGTATTTTTGAAATTTATGTGCCTAATTTTATAGTTTACTGATCTGTAATGATGGCTGAAAATTTGTAAATTGTAAAAATTGCTGCTTTGTACAGCGATTTATGGCTTTCCAGGTTCTTCATGCATTATTTCTTTATTCAAATTTTTACTGTTATTTTTCATCATAGCCAAGTAGCAAACATGTTTCTAGCAATTTCGTTAAGTATGACAGTATCTCTATCAGCTGACATCCAGCACAGAAATCATATGTATTTATACGAGGCAGATTTCCATTTTATTATTATGATCAGATTACCTGTTTCAGTTTCATTTAACAGGGTTCATATGGTCCATAAAAGTCCTTAATTTTTTCAAAAATGATTTTTGGTCCTTAAAAGTCCTTAATTTTGCTCATTTGACATTTCTTATCATTTCTAATGATTGCCATTCTAAGTGTGAATTACGATTTCTCATGAATATGGTATTAAAATTACACGGCTCTTAACCAATCTGTTGGCAGATTTGTGTTGAAAACGATAAAAATAAATAAAAAAAAAAAAAAAAAATAGCTACCCGAACGAAAGTATCGGTGTCTGATTGGCTATTCACCCAATCTTTCAAAACATGTGTTATCCATAAATTTAGGCAGATTGTGACGAAAGCGTGAAGCCGGAAGTTCTTTAAGAGGCGAAAGTGATGATGAAGGTGCTCGAGAAAAAAAAGGGGGGGGGATTCTGAAAATATTTGCCCAAAATTAGAGCAAGTACCAACCTGGAAGGCCAGAACCTCTTCCGACGCCAATAGGAACGAGAATGCCTGGAAAGTGCATTTTCAATAAACTGTGGCATTCATCAAGCTGACTACAAAGACTGGATATTGATGGATGGCAAAGCTTTTAAAGCTAAATGCGGTCTTTGTCTGAAACAAATTGAAATTTCTAGAATGGGAGAGTCAGCGCTGAAAATTTCACATGAAAATTAAGTTTCGTTTTATCATTTCAAATTGTTTTTTACACAGTTTTGCTTAGCTTAATTTCTGTGTTGTTTCAATTAAGCCATAAATTAATTATTTATCACCTTCTACGGAGTTATTCTCTTTGCACATACTATAGTATGGGATATCGGGATTATGAGTTTATTTCTGCAGAGAGTCTGTTATCGATTTCGCGGGAAATCTGTTGGCTCCATTTCGATTTTAGGTCGCCAAGGGCAAATTCGGTAACGCTAGCCGAGAAAAAGTGAAGTTCGGAAATACGTTTTGAAGCTTCAATAGACAATTAAATATTTGGTTTAAACCTATGTTGTTGATAGTAATGCATAATTTTTGCTAATGGCGATAAAATTATTAGTTGAAAATAACTAATTAAAAATTTTTTAATATTTTTAAAGCTGAAAACAACTAATTGAAACTAATTTCCTGAATTAACTAGACGCAAAATTAACTTTCATGAATTACTAAAGTTATTGGGGGTAGAAGTTTAACTGAAAATATACATTCCGTATTATAGTATATATTATATATATATTTATACAGTACAAAGTCCGAGGTCTGGGACTCGTCGGGACTTCGGCGATCCCAGATTTGAGATTTTTTTTCCGGATATTAGATCATTTTAAATCTACTAAGATGGCACGTAGAAATTATAAAATTGAAAATATGAAATCGTGATTTATGAAATAATGAAGCATTTATGATTTAAAGGGTATCAAAATTTACAAAAGAAAAGAGCTTAATATTTATATGTTTACTTTATTAAACATTTCTTTCAATGTGAGTTGTTTGATTTGTTTTCTCTGCTAATACTGTAGACTAATACTATAGACATATAATTTCTTGTTCAGTTATTAAGTTCCATTGTTCAAGTCCTGTAATTGCTGTGTCGAGAATTCTGAATAACTTGTCAATCAAAATTTTTTCTCGTTCAGTAACCTCTCTGTTACTTTCTTCACTATCGGTAGCTGTATTTTCTGGATTTAGAACCCTACTACAGATTTCGCCCTCCATTAATTGATTTGATGATTGGGCATTGTCATCGCAATGAAAAACTTCTGTTAAACTTCGCTAAATTCTGCCGCCTGGTGCGGCCATGCGAGCTCTAGCGCTGGTTCTGGCTTTATGTGAATAACAAATCAGTTATTCTTAATTCAAATAGCACTAAATATAATCGTTTGTCCCATGAGTATCATTAACAAGATCTATTTTTAGCATAAGGGAAGAAATTTCTGCTAAATCTCCCATTGTCAACATTTTAGCGCATTAAACTTAAATCTGTAATCGGATAATACTCTGTTATTTGGCATCGCTGCATGATTCATCACTCAAGTTGTCATCCGTTGATAAACATGCAGTGATGAAAGCAAAATACAATAAATAATGATTCGCGATTTCGGCATCAAGGATATAAAATATTAGTTGGCTGTAAAATTAATCAAATGTTTCTTTTTGAGATTATGCCAAGCAGATACGCAGCTATGGAGTCAAGTTACTAAACTAATCACACAAATTTATGCTAAAATAATTATTTCTTCAATAATGAAATATTTTATTTAGCGCCAAACTGAGTTTAAGAATCGGGATTTCCGGCATGTTTTTTTATAGGAGGAAAAAGAATCTAATGCGCGTGCTTAAAGCATACCCCTTCCCTTCCAAAAAAAGCCCTAAAAAAAGTTGGTTGGTGGGGGCTTTGAGGTCCGGATTTTAGATTCATTCCAGATATTGGATGTCCGGATCTCGGACTTTGTATACTGTATATATATATATATACATCTTTCAAAATATAACTTACCAGTATGGATTCACTCTTTTAAATAATTCTACTTTAATTAAACTTAGGAGATAATATAATCAATTAATCAATATGTTTAGGAAATAAATTATTATAATATATATAGAGCAAAAAATGTATATTTTCGCTATTCAAGTATTCTTATCTTGTCACATGAACAGGCCTCTGTGGAAAGGGGCTTCTCTGTAAATAAAGCAATTGAAATTGAAAATTAAGTGACTCATCATACATTTTTCAACACACAGTATTTGATTACATAAAATTTTCTGGAGGTGTTCTTAATATCGAAATTAATAAAGAAATGAGATCAGCAGCAGCTTCTGCAAGAAGTGGAGTTCGTTATTTAGAAGTTCAGTATTTAGAAGAACAAAAATCTTTAACTAAATCTGAAAATTCAAAGAGGAAAAGAAATATTATTGAGGAAGAAATTGATTATATGAAGCAGAAGAAAAAATTTCTTCAAAGGGACATTAAAGATATTAATGAAGAAGTAGATGCTTTAGCAGATGAAGCTGAGACCAGCAGGAACATTGATTTGTTTATCAAAGCAAATGAATTTAGAAGAATAGTTAAAGAAAAGGAAATAGATGTAAATAAATTAGATGTTAAAATAGCTGAAAAGATTTCAGATTTAAAAAAAGCACAAATGTTTTGTATCTTTTATTGTACAGTTTATTATTCTAGTATCTTTAAAAAAACCAAGGAAATAAATTGTATGTTTACAAATCAGTCATTTTAATCTGCAAAATATTCTTACATTGTGATTATAATAGTGGAATAAATATCAAATAAGTTAAATAATAATCATGTATATCTCTAAAATAGTGACTGTTATTAGTGTAAAATACACTTATACATGTTTTTCAAGAAATTATGTTCCTAATTTAATGTTATCTACTTCATAACTTGTAGGGAGTTAGATGGTAAGTATTAAATTGAATTTAATAATAGTGCATAATAACACTTCTGTTAGTTTTCTTAAAGTGAAATTACAAGCATGAAGTCGGTTGTATGGATAATTGTTTTATTCTATTCATTTTTTTGTTTGCTGATAGGTCCTTAATTTTTTCTTTGATGGTCCTTAAAAGTCCTTAATTTTCATGTAAGGAAATGTGTACGAACCCTGTTTAAGAAATCCTTTCTTTTTTCTTGAATCGACTTTGCAGGATTTTTACTATGATTGTATTCCATAACACATTTAGAAAGCTATAATATGCAATAGATTTATGTTCTTCACTGATATACTTTTTATTGCATTATCGGATAATTTACATAAATTCGTTTCTGATTACAATTAAAATGAAAGAAATACATCAAGTTTTCTTTTTATATAAAATATTTTTTGTTGCTTTCAAGACTCTTAAATTTTCATTCAATTATTATGCAGAGAAAATTTCTCTCATTAATGCTCATGAAGATTATGCATGCTTAGAATCATACCTGTGTCAAATTTTAATTTCATTTATTTTATGATTTATATTAGATTGGGCAGAGCAACAGCTTAGTACCATTTGGATGTTTTGCCGTCCAGTCTTCATCTGCTACTAAGATGATGCATGCCTGGGATCTTATTCTAAAATATTATGAATTGAAAGTGAGTTCTTTTATTTTTCAAGGGGAAAAAGTGCCATTAAACCAGAGTTTGTTTGTATTAGTATGTGAAACAAATGCTTTTTAAGCGATAGATTTTAATGTAAACCTAATTATTGCTTTCAGATTTTTCTAATGTATAGTCATTTTTTAAAGAACAAACTTTAAATTGAATTGCATTTTGGCATATTGAGAGGTATTTAGGCATAGCAAAGTTGTAATTTAATATATTTTAATATTTAATTATGTTACATAATTTTTTGCATTTATTTGTCAGAAAAAAGTACTAATATTTTTTTTAAATGTATGCAAAGCTGTCTTCCACTTAAATAATGTAATTTCTTTGAAAAACCTTCATATTAAAAATATGGAAGTTGTATTGTCAGCAAAATATGCGAATGATTCGATGTCATTTTATTATGGTGATTAAAACTTCTTTCCTTTATTGCAAACAGCTTTTAACAAATTTTGTGTATTAATACAAACATCACAGATTATATGCTTAAGTTCTATATTCTGTTTTTATTATTTATTTATTTATATTTTAGAATGGTTATCAGTACAATGCTTCTCCAGCTCGAAAACTTTGCCAAAGCTTCAATCTAGAAATAGTTGGAGGAGTTGCTATGACTCCTAAACAGGTTAGAAAGTAAAATTAATCATCAATCTAGTTAATTGTAATATTAAGGTTACATAAAATGTATTAGTGTAAACTGTGCATAGGATAAGTTATGCACATTTAATTTTTTAAATATTGTTTTGCAATTGTTTAATATTTCATGTATTATTTGTATTGATGTTAAAAAATCATTTTGCTGTATTTAATAATAACTCATTGTCTAGCATTTAACCTTTTCGCGAGGGTGCACCTTTGTTTAAGACGCTCATATGAAATGGAAGGGAATCAAAGGCAGTCACCGTACAGGACGGACGTTTTACATTGCTAAGCCTAATTTTATAAAAAAAAAGTCAGAAAAAAAAAGTTTCACTTCTAGCATCATAATTTTTGGTATCCTTTTAGATTATTACTTGAGCTCTTATATATGTTAAAATTAGCACTTAATAACGTTTTTTTTTTCCTTCATTTTACATGATAATATAATTAAAATTTTCCTTATCTTGTAAAAGAATTTTCAGAAGCTCTATTCAAATTATTCCAAAGTTTTAATTGATAAAATCCATCAATAAAATTTAAAATTAATAAAACAACACAATAAAGACTATTTACAGTAAGAAGTAACAAAATTTAAAATGAAGACTGAGTGTGGGAAATCTCGAAGTACGGAGAAAAATCTCTAAATCTTAGAAAAAGTACTACTTTCTAAGCTCTTTACAAAAAGAATCATCACTCTCTCATCTGCATTAGTAAATGGGTTCATTAACCATACGAGGATATTCTTCCTCTGATAAATAGCACCTTCCCGCCATAATAGACTGGAGGTGAGGCTTTCCGAAATAAAAAGAGAAGGAACGGAAATATATCTGAAGGCAATGCAAAACATAACAACATAATTCCACATAGTGACCCTAAAAGACCGTATATAGTAGAAGTGAAAATTATTATAAAAAAAGGAATTGGATATAAATCAGACACGCGAATATTTATATTAGCATGCGGCAATTTAAAGAGCCCACCTCTGTTTAGGCTTTCCCTCCCCTTCCCACCCTCACAACAGCTGATGAGTAAAATACCAAAGTCAAGCAGAGTATATCAAACTCAAGGTCAGGAACCTAAAACTGTGTTCATTTCAAAAGTGATGGACATATAATGCCATGTAGTGGCCTTCAAAAAAACATTCCAGCTTAAAATGCATATACACATCACCCGTCCTCTGAATGCAATCTCTAGTGATGCATGGATGGGACGCCCCGCTGTAAGAGACGTTTTTAGGGAATGCGTATACGGGATGACCGTCCTGAAAGGGTTAATCAGATATAATAATGATATGCAGTGTAACTGCTAATTTAGAAATCATTTCATTTTATTATTTCACGATATCTCATAATGTCATGAAATAATAAAAGTGGAACTGATTTTTTGGCAGAAAGTAATTTTTTTTCGAGGTAATAATACTGCATTTGGTTACATTAATTTTCACATTAAAAGAATGATCTTGACTCTTTTTTTTTATTTTGTTACATAAGAGTTCTTTTATGTTTTCAGTCGTGTCTTTTCAGCAGCTAGGTAATCAAAAGATTTTCATTATTAAAATAGCATTTTGATGAGAAATCTGTATTTCTCTATTAATAGAATAGTTTGTTTTAGATTTCATAAGTGATTTTTTTCTTTACATGGTTACTAGATTTTTCACTTATAGTGAAGTGATTTTGGCTAGCAATAGTACCTTTTTTTGTCATATGCATTGTTTTCAGTTTCATTTTCTTTGTTATAAAGCAATATTTGTTTTTTTCTTTCAGTCACTTTTAAGTACCGTAGATAATATTATCAGTACCCATACTCCGCTTAAACGTTCACCTGATTCCCATTTTAAAGCTTTTGTGTGTGCTGCACTCAAGTAAGTATTTTTTCTTAACTAAATTACTTAAAACATTAAAACTTTTTCCCTATATTGTTTCTTTATTCATATTTTAATTCATTATTCATATTTTTAAAAACATTTTCTCCCTTTCTTTTACAGTGATAAGCGTCTTGTTTCTTGGTTGAAACTCATTTATAAAACTCGGGTTTTATTGGAACACTTTTATCAGCCATGGAGTTATGCATATAAAACTGGTAATTTTTTTAATTATGTAGTTACTTGAAAATGTGTAATGTTTAAGTAGATTATTAACTGTTTTCAAAGTCACTGAGCTTCAGCATATTTTCACATTTCTTTGTACAAAATTGTCGTAATGTTGGAACAACTGATTTTTCAGAAATTGGAGAAATTTTTTAACCAAACTGGGTTTACAATTAAAACACAATAGCATGCCGAGCAAATACTAATTCAGAAGTCAAACAACAAAAATCAGCGTTATATTTTCAAATTTTCACAGGATTAGTTTCAATGGTTTTACCGAACCATCGAAACTAGTCCTGTCATTATTATTATACAGGTTCATATTCTGTCATTGAAGAAAGCACATGATTGCATGTGACATCATTGCATGTTGAATATGTTTCGTTAATGTCAGCATTTTAAATAAATAGCTGCTGTTGACAACTTTTTTATTTCAGATTACGGTAACTGACATGATATGTTATTGCCCCATTAATTCTTTTATTGATATTTAGAAAAAGTTGTTATATTAGATTCAATTTAAATCATGACATCATACATATGCTTATTAACTGTTAGTAAAACATTTATTTGTTAAAAAGAAAGGTTATAAAATAAACTGAATTGTAATGCATTTGGGCTGCTTAATCTTGCTTTACTTTATTCTAGGTTTTGAAGATGCTTTGAAATCCCTGGATAGGCTTACTCATCTAGATTTTGATCTACCTGTAGATTTAGCTGTTCGTCAGTTACAAAGTATAAAAGATGCATTTTAAATTAACTAAGTCTTTTATCAAGGAATTTTTATAAAAGTTTAAAAATTTTTAATTATTCCAGAGTTGGTATCTGTTTATTTAATGCAAATTTTTCTGTAGCAAAAATGCTCATATTTAAGTTTGAAAAGAATCGCAATACTAATAAAATCTTTTTTTTTTTCTCCCAATTACTCATAATTTTACTATTTCATTGTGTTTTATGATCTGAATATTTTTAATTTGTAGTGTTTTTATTTTAGCTGAAAATACTTTGTACATAACTGAGTTATATTTTCTTCATTCACTTTAAGGTTATCTTAAGATAGCCATAAATACACAATGAAAAGCATATTTCATCTTTGTATGTGCATTTTTATTTGCATGATTCTTCTTGTTTTTATTTTAATAATTTCTCTAGAGAAGGGAAATGAAGCAATTTTTCTGCTCATAAACTTCATAAACCTATTTATGCATTACAAAAATTCCTGATATCTAACTTTTGAAATATCTCATCATGTTGTTGTTCTTCCAATTCACAAATAAACCATCCATTTCTCAAACATATATATTTATTAACTGTTTAAAATAATGTTTTATGTTCATTGTTGAAATTATATAAAGTAATATTGTATGTAGAGCAATGTAAATATATGTCCATTTGGTTGTAAAATAAATTAAGAGCCTGAACAAATTTTGTGTATTATTTCCTTAATTTCAAAGTTTTTGTTTTTATGTTCCATGTTATCTATTAAAAATTTACTATTAAGTAGTTACAAACAATCAAATTGTACTGAGCTATGTAATGTATGTCATTTGACTTTTTTTTTAATATAGTTATAGGAATGGGGTTAATGTGTTTCAAAAGTATTTGATTCTGAGGAAAATATTAAAGAAACATAGCACTTGAAAAACAAACTCACTCCCTGCCACATTTGATGCCAGACAAGTAGTTCATGTCATTAACGTCTTTGGGGGGGGGCACATACGCACCAAGATCTACCAAAAATGATGGAATTTCTTCATTTTTTGTACAGAAATATGAATAAAATTTTTCCACACTTTATATCTTGCCAGCAGAAAGTTATAGATTATTTAGGTATTATTATCGTACTCAAATTGCACTAGGTTATTTGAATATGACAAAGTACATGAGGGCTATCTACAAATGCCTTTGTGAAAGATTTTCTAAAGGAAACTATTTCATATTCATATTACAAATGGGAAAAACCAATCATGCAGCCAGCCTGTTCTCCTGGGACAAACTCCCGGCATTCAGCAGTCTTAACTACTCAGCTGTTGGGTAGACCATTGTAGTTTTATCTACCGGCTATAAAATCACATTTTCATTTTCAGCCCTTGAGTGGTTCTATAAGTGAAGGAATTCAGCATTTTTTATCCTATTAGTCCTGTACACGATAGAATACAGTAGTAATATGTAAAATCTGAAAAGCAGTTTTTTTTGGGGGGGGAGTGGAATGTTAAACATGTTGGCTTCCTTTTTGATGGTGGTAGAGAAGAAGGAAGAAAGAATTTGATCTCAGTCGTTCTAAGTTCAGCTACCACTGTGAATTGCACTCTTTCTTAACTTTATGATCTCATCCAGCTTATTATTTCAGCCTATTATTATTATTACTGTTGTCATATCAAAATTAACATTTTGAGGGGGGAAGGTTTCCGTTCCTTCTGCAAAAATTTACATCCGTCAATCAGCCAAAGGATATTGGCAAAAATTGTTGCTATTTCTGCATGCCGAAGAAATATGCAAATGATTTCAGTTTAACAAAAGAGAACTGCAAAATTTTCCAACTAATAAAATGTGATGAAATGCTAAATGAGGATGACATGATTAAAGTTCTTGTTGCAAGGATAATGTCCCAAACATCAGTCAACTAATGGATGCCTAAACCATAGTATGGTTTATACCTGGAAAAATATTGCCACGGAATTGTTAAGAATGTGATAAAAAGTTTGTTGAGAATGAAAAGATTTCAACTGACTGTTTAGTGAAAATTTTCAACTCAGCAATTATAAGATTTTATAATTAAACAAATAATTGTCTCTCTATAAATCATAGAAAAAGAAAGATGTATGAAATTAAATTGGTTAAACAACTTACATTGAAAGAAATGTTTAAAAATAAAAATCTGAGAATATTCAGATTTTACATTACACTCAAAGGGACTTTTTTTAACCTTTTATTTGTTACCTTTATTTATTAAATATCATGTTCTTTGTACTTAAACCATGAAATTCAATTCAACAGCATGCCATTGCATGCTTTGAAATCGTTGAGTTTGTTAACCAAAAATTTGTTAAAGGTGTTACAAAATTTGGAATCAATAATGAAACAAATTCCAAATTCGGAGGATTACGTTATTCAAAATTGGATGACCATTGTTTTATCATAGTGTGAGAAACATGCATATATTCATGCAGATTCTTCATCATTTAATTTCCTTAAATATAACACAGGGTGATAATATTTGGTAGCAACAATTTGAAAAGTGAATCGACATTTAAAATTTTCAATCCAAAATGCCAAAACAAAATTAATAGCCCTTCTGAGCTAACGCCCTTTGGGCTAATAAAACAAGCATCAGTTTTTTTTTTTTTTTTTTTTTTTTTTTTTTTTGAAATTTTAGTTTTCTTAATGGCATAAATGTTTTATTATTTCACAACCATTTCATATATTTAATTTTACAGTTTCCGTGTGTCACCTTACTCTATTCAAACAGATAGTCTATAATCCGAAATATGGAATTGGCAAAGTCCGAATGATTCTGGATCTCTTTCACTCTGTATTCTCAGGATGTAAAATAATGAATACTTTGAGTCAACAGTGAGAGTGAATGTTCTGTGAACATGCTTATTGTATACTAAAAGTTTAAAACTTAAAGACAACATATATTGTGAAGAGCATGATAAAATGCTAGAGTATTTTTTAAATAATTGAAATTTAAAGTAGTGGTGTACTAGGGGGCTAGTTTAGAAACCAGACTCAGTCTGGTTTCTAAACTAGCCCTTTTTTTATTAAATTAATTGCAAAACATAGCTAATAAAAATTATGCATTCAATATATATTTTTAAAATAATTTCATGTTCTTTTGGTTAGAAGTTACCACTTAAAACTTTAGTTCATCATTAAATTCATATTTTAAGTATATGAATGACCTTTTCTATTTGCAAATAGTGTCTGGAATATAAATATTTACTTCATATTTATGCACTACTAGCAAATAGAAAGGCACTCGGTGTTTAAGTAAAATCATATTCCGTATATTTTTTAAGATTTTAAATCAATTTCAATTACTCGAATCATCAGTGGAGTTCTCAAATATGGATATGTCACCGTGAAAGACCAAAGTTGGAGAATGTCGAATTTCACGAGAGAATATCAACATTCACCAAATACGCCGGTGAAAGACCGAATATTTCACTACATTCTTGTATATTCGGACCCTCACCGATGTATGTCGACAATCACAGATATGCTCTGGTGAAAGTCGAAAAGAGAGGTTATAAAGTGCCATAATAGTTTAAGTTGTTGCAATAAATAAGATTTGAATCACATAATTTAGTAAGTTTTTTATTACTGTTATTTTATTTTCTCATTTAGAATGTACTGTATAATTAAGTAAGTTTCTAACTTCTATTATTTTCCTTTCTCATTTTGAATGTATTGTGTGTTTTAGGTTCTCATGTTCTTAAGTTCTTATTTCAAGTCTCCAGTGCGTTTATTCGCGACTGAATTTACGGAGAGAAAATATAATATTGTTATATGTTCAACATTCACCATTAGTACATGGTGAATGTCGACATTGACCGGTGTAAGTCAAAAATAAGAGTATTTGGAAAATATTTTCGGGCTTAGACCAAGAACTATGTGAATGTTGACATTCTCCAGATTTCGGTGTTTCACCGTAACAGATATATTTCCAATAGAAATTGTCCAGCATGTTGCCCTTTTTAAATGATTTCACATTACTTTGGCCAATCAGGAAAATATTTGAAGTTTTTCTAAAAAATTTAACAGTTATCCAAGCCTTTAATTTATAAAATAAGAAATATTGAAAATATGGGGAATCCAAAATTTAGGAAGAGGTTTGCTCTAATAACAATGAAAAAATACTGATATTCATGCATGATTAAAATCGTTTCATACCAAATGTTTCAATATTCTGTACACTTAAAATATATCCTATTCTTTTTTGAAGAACTTGTATCATTTCATATTATTGAAAGAATACCATGCAATTTTTATTGCAGATGCTTACTGAATGGTCCTAAAACTTTCAAGAAAAAATTGCATATTTTTCATCTTTCATGAAGATTTATGAATAATTATAATATATCAAAAAAATCTGAAGACTTCACGTACTATGAAACAATTTCAAAACCATAAAAATGTCTTCAGAAAATATGTGTCATTTTCATATTGCTTCCGAAGTTTAACACTTCAAACTTAAAGGCATGTTTACAAACTAGATTTTTTACATGAATTCATGTATTTTCTGCACTTTTTTTTTTTTAATAGAAGCTTGCATTTTGCATATGCAAGCTGTTGCATCAAGTCAATAAAATTTTATACTTGTATTAATTAGCATTTTAAAGTATGCATGTCTGATGTTCATATATATTTAATTGCCACTAATTAAACTTAATAGTATACATTTGCACAATGAAAACTAAAAGAAAAGCAGACTATAAACCAGAATTTTCAAGTTGCTTAAAAATGCATTCAGTTGTTGAAAAAGTAACTGTATTTTGTATAGCCATCTATGCATTTTATATATTTAGCACATTTCTCAAAACATATTTTCACTTAATTCGAGAATTTGTTAAGGAAAAGGTGTAAAAGTCAAGACAATTAATTCATACTCAAATTATCTCTAATGTTATACTTAAAGCTAGTTATTTTATCAAAGAGATTGTCTGTTCTTACCTGACAAATAAACGTGCAATGCATATCAATCTTCGCATATGACTGCATCAGTGCATTTTCTACTAGATCCTTTAATAATTTAGAAAATCTATTAGTGTGCCACAAAATGACAGTGAATGTTTCACTAAAACTTTTATATACAAGCACTCTTTAAAACCCCTTTCTGCAATATTTTTTTTTTTTCCAAGGAAGA